TCTCCTCTCACCTGCCCTCTGAGTCGGCATCCTTCCCTGAATGCACCGTGCTTTTCAGACGTTTGTTCTTCTGCCTCCTGTGTCCCCTGCTTTGACCTGGCTAATTCTGATGTATTCATTTCTGAGGCTTATTCCCGTGGTTCCAAGTCTCTTCGATTTTGCTCCTACACCGTCCCACGTGTAGCTCTAGCATGACGTCTGTTATGCATTTAAATGACCTTTGTTTCACGTTCTTTTACTACGTTATGAGGTCCTAGAAGACGAAGACGAATTTTTTAATCATGTTCGTAACCTTAGCACTGCTGAGGGTTTGATGTTTAGTCCACTTTTAGTCCTGTCTTAAATGGTGACACAGTTGTGTCCATCCTTGTTCCCAAACTAGAAATGTGAATGATTCCTAGTTTCCTCTCTTTATCACATGTAACCGTTTCCAAGTCCTTCAGTTTTGCTTTTACTTGGGTATATATGTTTGCATTCTTTTGTTCACTTGTTTGTTCATCCAACAAATTTCCTTCAGTGCTACTGTATGCAAGGCTGTGAACTAACTACACTGTGTGCCAAACATTGCATTGAATTTGTAGAATGTATAGATTAATTTTATGAGAAGGAACACACTTACAAAATTAAGGAATAACAGTTTATCTAGAAGTATTCCTCATTTTTTTAAGCTTATTTTTTTAAAGCTTTTTGTTAAACTTATTAACTGTGTTTTAACAGTTCTTAGTATGAATGAGATTTTAAAAATTCTGTTACAGTTTCTAACTTGTCATTGCTCATATATCAGAAACTGATTAAATGATCTTTTTACCTGGCCACCTTATTAAACTTCTAAGTAGTTTTCATGGACTTAGATTTTCAAATATTCATTATGTCAGTGACAAATATCAGGGTTGTTTACTTACTGGGTATTTATGAGTTAACTCATTTTTCGTGTCTCAGTACATTTCATATCTTAGTATTGCACATTTGTTGAATAAAAGCCGTGATACTTGGCATGCTGGGATTTTTCCTTTTTTAACTGGGCTGTGTGGCTTGCGGGATCTTACTTCCCTGACCAGGGATTGAACTCAGGCCCTGGCAGTGAAAGCGCCAAGTCCTAACCACTGGACTGCCAGGGAACGCCCCCTGGAATTATTCTTGACTTTAATGAAAATGCTTCTATCAGTGTCTTGCTGAGTATGATGTTTATTTTGAATAATAATTTAAAAAATCAAATTAAGGAGGCATCACCTGTTCCTCACTTGCTAAGAGATTTATCCTGAATCCATGTTGAGTTTTATCAGTAGCTTTGTTGGTGTCTGTGGAGATGATCAAGTTAATCTGTTAATGTAAAGAATTACAGTAAGAGATTTCCAGAAGACAGACTCCCTTAATATTTCCGCTTTTTCCTGATTTATTTAATGCATTGCTAGATTTGAGTGCTAATGTTTCATTTAGTATATTTTCATTTATATTTGTAAGTGACATTGGTTTGTACTTTTCTTTCATTTAATTCTCTGCTTTTGTTTCAGAATTATGCTAGCCTCATAAACTTTGTTAAGGCATTTCAGTTTTTTTTAATTGGGAAAACTGTTTAAATTTGAATTGTTTAAACAACAGGAATTAGTTATTTCTTAAAGCTGTAGTACAGTGTGTCTCTAACATTGTTTAGAAAGTTGCTGTTTCTTGGTGTCTTTATTTCCCCAAGTCTAGTGAAGTATCAGGAGCAAAGAACTTTAACACTTGTTGAATTTTCTAGATAAGGTCCTGGGAAATGATTTACTATATAGAATCACTTGTTATACTAACAGGGTTGGTTTTAGTCAGAGAAGCACTGTTATCCAACTAAGTCATCAGGATATGGAATTAGTCTGGAAGAGAAACACATGGAAATCTGTCTTCATGGATAGATTTTCTTCATAGAAAAATGCTGTTTGGTGATAGTCTAAATTCAAAGCTAACATTTATAGGAAAATGGTCTAATTTGTATCACTGAGTACAATATTTGCATAATTACCATGTTTAAAAAGACCAAAGGTAACCGTTTTATAAATGTATTCAGGTCTCGGGTTAGTTTTACTATTTTCTTTCATTTTTATTTTTCTATTTTTGGCTGTGTTGGGTCTTCACTGCTGCACGCAGGCTTTCTCTAGTTGTGGCGAGCGGGGGCTACTCTTCGTTGCGGTGCATGGGCTTCTCATTGTGGTGGCTTCTCTTGTTGAGGAGCACGGGCTCTAGGCCTACGGGCTTCAGTAGTTGTGGCTCGTGGGCTTAGTAGTTGTGGCTCGCGGGCTCTAGAGCGCAGGCTCAGTGGTTGTGGTGCACGGGCTTAGTTGCTCCACAGCATGTGGGATCTTCCCGGACCAGGGCTCGAACCTGTGTCCCCTGCATTGGCAGGCAGATTCTTAACCACTGCGCCACCAGGGAAGTCCCTACTGTTTTCTTTTGTAAAGCTTATTCTGTAATTTAGATTCATTATAATTAATTTATAGGCAAATAATATTTTAGCAGTTAAAGTACTTTAATTTCAATAAAACTGATTCAGTGTATCCATCCACATTTCCCTTTTATAAAATTTTTATTAGCATATAGTTGATTTACAGTGTTGTGTTAATTTCTGCTGTACAGCAAAGTGAATCAGTTATACGTATACATATATCCACTCTTTAATTTTAGATTCTTTTCTCATATAGGTCATTACAGAGTATTAAGTAGAGTTCCCTATGCTATGCAGTAGGTTCTTATTAGTTAGCTATTTTATATCTAGTAGTGTGTATATGTCAATCCCAGTCTCTCAATTTATCCCTCCCTCCCCCTTCCCCCTTGGTAACCAAAAGTTTGCTTTCTACATCTTTGACTCCATTTCTGTTTTGTAAATAAGTTTATTTGTACCATTTTTTTAGATTCCACCTATAAGCAATATCATACAATACTTGTCTTTCTCTGACTCACTTCACTCAGTATGGCAATCTCTAGGTCCATCCATGTCACTGCAGGTGGCATTATTTCATTCTTTTTCATGGCTGAGTGATATTCCATTGTGTATATGTACCACATCTTCTTTATCCATTCCTCTGCTGAATTTAGGTTGTTTCCACGTCTTGGCTATTGTGAATAGAGCTGCTATGAACGTAGAGGTGCGTGTGTCTTTTTGAATTATAGTTTTGTCTGGGTATATGTGCAGGAGTGGGATTGCTGGATCATATGGCAGCTCTATTTTTAGTTTTTTAAGGAACCTACATACTGTTCTCTATAGTGGCTGAACCAGTTTACATTCCCACCAACAGTGTAGGAGGGTTCCCTTTTCTCCACACCCTCTCCAGCATTTATTGTTTGTAGATTTTTTGATGATGGCCCACATTTCCCTTTTTTAATTCAGTGTTTTCAAGTGTTCATAAAACTATGGGTATATTATAGAAGTAATTGAACATCTGGATAATTCTAGGACTAATATGGCAAAGGTTCTCAACCAGGGCAGTTTGTCCCCATGAGACATTTGGCAGTGTCAGGAGACTCTAACTGTCACAGTGAGGGGAAGCCACTGTCATCTGGTGGGTGGCAGCTGGAGATGCTAGTGAACATTGTACAATGCCCAGGATAGCCTCCCACAAAAAGAACGATCTCTTCCCAAATGTTAGTGGTGCTGAGGTTGAGAAACCCTCTTGTAAAAGGAAAGATGTATACACAAATACAAACACACAGTTTTAGAAAGGCGTTCTCAGACGTGCACTTTTTCTTTCAGCAATTATAATTCTAACTTAATACAGTTTACAGTGTCCTTATGCAAAGTGTATGAAGAGTATTCTGCTCTTGACTGACATCTAGTGAGACATTTAAAAATAAAAAGTAAAACTGAAGGTTGAGACTGAATAAGCATGTAAATCAGAGTTACTACTAATTGTTTTTCCAGTCTTAGGAAATTCACAAATAAGTAGACTAGGAAGAGAGGAAAGATTTGTTTATGGCTACTGAGAAATTATAGCTGAGAAGTAGTATGTGGTAAATTCTTACCTGAAGTATTGTATCTCCTTTGTCTTTTACTTATATTCTTGATTTAATATTAGAGCTTAGGATATGAAATCTTTCTTTTGATAGTTTTCTGAATAAATGCTGAGTTACCTATATGTAAGACTTTCTATATTTTGAAAATTGCCTAAAATCATAGAATTTTAGAGCCAATGGGAACCTAGGTGGTTTAATCCAGTTTCTTCACTTACAGAGATTAAAAAGTTCAGTTTCAGAGATTTGAAGTGATCTTTTTTGTTGTCTTACAACTTGTTAGGCCAGATCTTGAACTGGAACCCATAGCTCCTGACTTCTAGTCGAGTATTCTTTCAGGGTGAGGGGAAGTAATTAAGCACGCTTTAAAAAAAAAACAAAACTATTTATTTATTTTTGGCCGAGTTGGGTCTTCGTTGCTGCGCACAGGCTTTCTCTAGTTGCGGCGAGCGGGGGCTACTCTTCGTTGCGGTGCACGGGCTTCTCATTGCGGTAGCTTCTCGTTGCAGAGTACAGGCTCTAGGTGCACGGTCTTCAGTAGTTGTGGCATGCAGGCTCAGTAGTTGTGTCTCGCGGGCTCTAGAGTGCAGGCTCAGTAGTTGTGGCTCACGGGCTCAGTAGTTGTGGCTTGCAGGTTCAGTAGCTGTGGCTCGCAGGCTCAGTAGTTGTGGCTCACGGGCTCTAGGGCACAGGCTCAGTAGTTGTGGCGCACGGGCTTAGTTGCTCTGCGGCATGTGAGCTCTTCCTGGACTAGGGCTTGAACCCGTGTCCCCTGCATTGACAGGCAGATTCTCAACCACTGCCCCACCAGGGAAGCCCAGGCACACTTTGGATTCTCTTTAAAGCTTATGTTTTTTTTTCAAACTATGAATATTAAAAGTGTTAAATTTTTATTTCCTTATAAAGAATATATACACCTGTATATATGTTTTAAAATGAATTAGTATTTATGTTTATAAATCTCATGTTTAATTTATAAGCGTTATGCCAGTTTAAACATGGATATTTCACATTTTTCACAGGCGACAACACCTCCAAATCAAGGGCGGCCAGATTCTCCTGTCTACGCTAACCTGCAAGAACTGAAAATATCCCAGTCGGCTCTCCCCCCGATCCCTGGAAGCCCAGCAATTCAGATTAATGGAGAATGGGAAACTCATAAAGATAGTTCAGGGCGTTGTTATTACTATAACAGAGGAACACAGGAAAGAACTTGGAAACCCCCTCGTTGGACTCGAGATACAAACATAAGCAAAGGAGATTCCCAGAGTCCAGGAGATCAAGAGGTATGAGGAGTTAGGGGGTCAACCAGTGAGTTACCGAGCTTTTTCTCTTTTTGTTCCTCAAAGAAGTGAATAGGTTTGCTTCTAACCCTTGAAATCTCTAAGATACTAAATCTTTTTTCCACGTTTTATTATATTACTGCTTGTCGCTTCCTAATCTCTAACTAGTGGACAGCGTCTAGCCTTGTAGCATGCTTACTAGTTCCAGAATTAACTGGGTTAATGTTGCCTAGTAGCAGTAGTTTCCCTCATGTGCTAGAAGATACTAATTCAATCATTGTTGTTGCCCAAGGAGTGACATCTTTTAGAAAAAGGAGAGAAAATATGTGACATGATTTAGCCAAACAAATAAAAACAAAGTTATTTAATTGACACTTTTCTTTATGGTTTGGTGGGGCTAGCAAGATACTTGTCAGTTTTTGTTAGAGATACAAGATCACTTTTTATTTCTATGTAGGGGAAATAAGTATAATTCCTTTGCTGCGAACAAAGGACCACCCTCTAAGTCTGACAGTTCACTCTGTATCGTTATTTTCTCTAACACGTGTCCATACTGTCTCCCCACCTGCCTTGGTTTCACTTCCCTCCCACCTCTCAGAGGGTGGTGCGGTGAATTGGCCAGCGGTGTTTTGAGAAACACTCATCTCCGAGGCCTGGAGAGAGTCCTTGGGACTGTTCAGGTGTGCAGGAGAAGCTTGGGTAGCGTGGATAGAATGGAGTTAAATCCTGCTGTTTGGTAGACGGCGGTCCCCGCACCTGCACAGGACACCTGCTCTTAGAGAGAGCAGCTGGCTTGTACAGTAGGAACAGAACTCCATTTATAGGTAGGAGCTGGAGAAATCAGGTAACACATCCTGTATCTAGCAGAACCTGAAAGCTTTTTATAGTTAATGACCCCTCGTCTTATCCTGTTTTTCAGTTGGTTATTTATAGCTTTGCTTTGGTGGTAACTTGTACTTTTAGTATTCAGGAATGAGGTGGGAGGATAGTGAGAAGTTGTTCATGTGTTACTATAATAGGAAAATGTTAGGAAAGTGATTTGAATTTGTGTGTCCAGAAAGATTTGAAAATAAGTTGTCCTGTGTATCAATAATAAAGTAAAATCATATAATTTGGAAGAATTGGGGTAAGGGCTAAATTGTAGAATAATTTAAAGAAATTTGAAGTATACATGGGAACTTCAGCAACCCTTCTTGGCTTTCTGTTTCAGTGACTAGATGAGAGTGGCTAGTGTTTCAGAATCTGAGCTCACACCACTCCCTCTCTGCGGGTATTGTGTAAAATAGGTATTTCCAGAGTGGCTGGAGCATATCTTCCAGTAACTTCTTGAGAAAGGTTGTGCATGGGAGGTAACATTGAGACTTTGTGTGTGAAAAAGTCTGTATTCTGCCCTCCTATTTAATCGATAGTTGGCCTGAGTGAAGAATTCTAGGTTGGAAATCATTTCTTCTCACAGTTGCAAGGCATTTTGAACTTGACTTTATGGCGATCTCGGTCAGCTGCGTGTGGGATGTCTCCAGTGTTGGAACCATTCGGTCTTCCCTTTCAGACTGACTCGTCTCTGCAGAAGTCTTAACACCTGGACAGTAAGGGCCGCCTGGGTCTTGGTACCCGGCGTTTCGTTTGCACATAGTTCCTTAGTCTCCCCTCTTTCTGTTTGGTACCTGCGTCCTAGTCGTGCCTGTTGTCTTCCAACTCAGAATCCCACTTGATAGGGAGTAAAACCCTACACTTGGGCTGGAATAAGGGAGGGGTGCACACCTAGTGGCCAGGCATGAGGAAGGGGAGTCTGGCGATTTCAGTCCTCAGTTCAGTACCCTCGGTTCCAGGAGGACCTAATACTGTCACTTCCTGGGCCGTTTGAAGATTTCGCTCTGCAGACCTGTTGCATTTCGTCTTCCCTCCCCGGCACCCATCCCCCCCACCAGTTTAGATTCTGCTTTCTTTGCGGATAATTTAGGTGTTTGTTCATCTGCTTCTCAGCCTCCAGAATTTTGTGGCTGTTGTGTCTCCTTGTGTTCTCCCTGTTCTTGGCGGTTCGGGTCTTTTTAGGCTTGTTTCGATACTTTTATTTCAGTAGGGTTAGAGAGGGAGCAGATGCTCGCCCTCTCATCCTAACCCAGAAGTTTATTTCAGTGGTTGCCCTAGCACAGTGGTTCTCACGTGGGGCAGTGTTGTCTCCGGGGGGACCTAGGCAATGTCTGGGGGTATTTTGGGTTGTCACAACTCAGCGAGGGCTACTGGCTCCTCGTGGGTAGAGGCCAGAGAAGCTGTTGAGCATCCTGTGATTCACAAGACAGCTTCCACCGCGAGGCACAATCTGGCCCTAACGGTCCACGGTGCTGCTGATGAGAAACGCCTCCGTAGGAGTTGTAACTGGCGCACTTATCACAGTCTGCGGTTAATCAGCTCTTCTTGCTCCTTTTGAAACCGTACAGGAACTATACGTGCAGCGGTGCTATTGTTGTCTGTTTTATTTCTATTTTTTAGCTCCCTTAGTACTTGTTCTACATGGTGGCTCAGAATTTATCCTCATATGTACCACTTTCTTTTTTCACATTTCTTAGGCAAATTAGGTTACCTTGGATAACTTTATACTGTCTTAAGTACCTACTTTTAAATTTCCTTAGTGAGCCTCTGTTAGTGATAGAATCTTAGTTTTCATTTGCCTGGAAATTTGTTTTTCATCCTTACTTTTGAAGAGTATCTTTACCTGGTGCACAGTTCTAAGCTGATGGCTTTTTATTTTTCCCTTGTTCGTTGAAGACTTTATTCTCATGCTTTCTGGCTCTCATTGTTGATGTGGAAGATTCAACTTGTAGATCCCTTCCTGTGGGTGGCTTTGAGGATCTCGTGTCTGTAGTTTCACTATGATGTGATTCGGTGAAGTTATCTTTTTTATTTCCTTCCGGGGCTTTGTTGGGAATCCCAAATTTGAGGCGTTCCGTCTTTGATTAGTTCTGGAAAAACTCTTAGGCATTGTCTTTATACAGCTCCTGTCCCATTTTCTCTTTCCTCTTGTTTTGGGACTTTGATTAGATGAACAGTTAATCTGCTCGCTCCGTTTATCATGTCTCTTGATTTCCCTTATACTTTAACATTTTATTGCTGTGTCTCTCTCTGCTTGTTCCCAGTCATTTCCAAGTCAAGCTCCTGTTTGCTGTTTTTCTCTTCATCATGTATGTTTGTTGGATATTAAACCAACCCTTGAATTTAAAAAATGTGTTATTTTAAATTTGTTTGGGGAGCTTCCCTATCTTAATTACTTTGAGAAGTTTGAAACATACAAAAAAAGTAGAAAGAATAGTATAGTGAGCTGCCAGGTACCCTTCATCTGGATTTACAGGTTGTTAACACTTTACCACATTTGCCTTGTTACTTTCTCCCTCCTTTTACCCTTCTAATTCTGCAGTAATTTTTTTTCTGAATCATTTGGACCAGACAACATAATGTTTTATTCTTTAAGTATAAGGACTGTTTCCAGCAAAATCTTTTTTTGTGTGTGTGAAAAATACTTTATCATACCCAAGAAATTTAATAGCAGTATATTATTTAATACAAAGGTAATGTTCGTGTTTCTCACTTGTCAACTCATATCCTTTATAGTTTTTTTTCCTGCAGTGAAGGATCCAGTGAAGGATCATATATTGCATTTATTTGTCATATCTTTCTTAAGTCTTATTTTCTACTTTATTTTTGCTAATTTCAGTATATAGTCTTTAAGAGTCTGAATATGCTGTTCTTCTGCTGACTCTCACTCATGGTGTTTGTTTTACATCGTGTGTGTGTGTGTGTTTTTGTTTTTTTTTTTTGCGGTATGCGGGCCCCTCACTGTTGTGGCCTGTCCTGTTGCGGAGCACAGGCTCCGGACGCGCAGGCTCAGCGGCCATGGCTCACGGGCCCAGCCACTCCACGGCATGTGGGATCTTGCCGGACCGGGGCACGAACCCCGTGTCCCCTGCTTCGGCAGGTGGACTCTCAACCACTGCGCCACCAGGGGAGCCCTGTGTGTGTGTTTTAATGTGAGATTATAGTTGTTGGAAATTCATATATAGCAAGTTTAATGCTAGGGTTGAAAGTTTGTTCCTTCAGAGAGGATTTGCTTTTGTTTCTGCCAGGTGCCTGGGGAAACTAGTATGCTGTGAACATTTGAAACTAAATTTTCAGTTTGCGTTTTCACAGGCCACCTAGGTAGTAGTAATTTTGGATTGCATGAAGAGTGGCTTGTTGCGTCCCAGTTTCCCCTGCTTAGTCCTGTGATTTTCCTAGCATGGAATAAAGGGCCAAGATTTGTTTCTGATTCACCCCATAAACTGCAGGTATAATTCTTTGGGGTCCCCTTTCTTTCTCGTGGGACTCACTGCCTTAGGTTGTTCCGCGTCCTATTCCCCAGCACTTCTGCATGGCCTTGAAAACTAATGTTCTAGTTCAGGATTTGGCAAATGCCATCAAGGAGAAAGCTGCCTTTTTATTGTACTTACCTTTCTGGATTCTTCTTCTCCTTCTTTTTTTAAAATAAATAAATTTATATATTTATTTATTTGGCTACGTTGGGTCTTCGTTGCTGCACGCAAGCTTTTCTCTAGTTGCGGCGAGCGGGGGTTACTCTTCGTTGCGGTGCACGGGCTTCTCACTGCGGTGGCTTCTCTTGTTGCGGAGCACGGGTTTTAGGCACGCGGGCTTCAGTAGTTGTGGCTCGCGGGCCCTAGAGCGCAGGCTCAGTAGTTGTGGCACATGGGCTCAGTTGTTCCGTGGCATGTGGGATCTTCCTGGACCAGGGATCGAACCCGTGTCCCCAGCATTGGCAGGCGGATTCTTAACCACTGCGCCACCAGGGAAGCCCTCCTTTTTTTTTTTTTTGATGGTTGAATAATATTTTCCTGTACAGATTGCCTTCTTTTACTCTGTTTCTAAAAGATTTTACTGTACCTCTCCTATATGAGCTTACATTTTAAGTGGTCTCAATTAAATTAAAATAAATCCTGATGTTTGAGTTAGGTTTTTCATTTTTTAAAAACGTTACTGTTACAAAACATATATAGCTCACTCTACGTAAGACTTCTGTTAAGTTGTCTGTGTCAGTTTTTGTGAACGTATTGCTAACATTAGGATGTTTACGTATGTTACTTCTACAGCATTGAGAATCTACACATCTTAGTGTTTCAGACCAAATTATGGTAGAAAATCCAGTCTGATTGAGTAGATTTAATTGTAGAAGATATTTTACCTGAACGTGACCCTGGAAGGGTCATTTGCACGTTAGAGTTAGCCTAGTAAATATTACATACTGAATTTCTTAATCTTTCTGTATTGTGTTTGTATTTTCTCAATATTTTTTTTTCTTCTTTCAAAGTGTAGTTTTGAATAGTTTTAAGAAGCATTTGGTTGAGTGAGTTAGGAAAACTTGACAATAAATTAGAACATAAAATATAGTGTTACAAAGCTAGTGTCTTTTCTCCCCCCATCTCCATCCCACACGCTTTAAGAAAATAGTTCAACATATATTGAGCACTTTTTGCGGGGCATTTGGCTAGGAACTTGCAATAAATCGGTGAGAAGTTTCAAGAATCTCAGTCTAATGAAGTGCCCTCACTTCTTGCTTTGCTTACACATAGATGTGTGTACACACACACACACACACGCACCCCTGTCATTTTTTTAACCTGATTTCAGTTCAAAAGCAGCATTAAATAGAAGGTAGCATTTTATCTCTCAGTCTGAAAACATTGTTCTCAATTTCATTACAGTAAATTTTTCTAGGCTTGCATTAATGCGATAAAATAACTTACTAATTTCACCTTACCACTTACAGTATACCATTAAAAAGACTAAACAGTTTGTTTTGAAAACTAAATATTTAAATATATTCAAGATATATTAGTATGTATAGCCAGATAAAGTGAATTGCTTAGATTTTCAACTGCTGCACACACACACACACACACACACACACACACACACACACATATATATGTTCAAAGAAGAAAAATCCTTATGTTTCTGACTATTTATAGCTTCTTTCATCAGAAGAAAACTACCACAGCGTTTGTTACAGCCAGTCAGATAGTCAGTGTGGTTCTCCTCCAAGGGGTTGGTCAGAAGAGTTGGATGAACGTGGGCATACCTTGTATACCAGTGACTGTACTAATGAAAAGGTACTTTCTTTTTCTCTCATCTAGTTTTCTTGGCAGATTCCTCTCATAAAATCATTATGTACTGAAGCTTTTTTAGTATTTTTAAAACTCATGAAAATATTTTCTTGTAATTCTGTAATCATGTCAACTGACAATATGAAAACTCAGTGTAACTACTTATTCATGGTTTTAAACTGCTTCCAGTTACAGGAATGTTTGTGGTGTCAACCTGTTTAAGACAGACCCTTTGAAGAGAAGACCCGTTGAGTGTCAATCTGCTTACACTTCTTCAGTAAACATATTTCTTTGTGTTTTTCTTGGGGAATAGTTTTCTCAACATGCTGTTATGACATACCACCTCACTTCCTACACTCCTTTTTCTTTTATAACCAAGTTACATAAAACAAAAACCATGAGTCTAGTATTTTATGATTCATCAACCAGTTTGAGAATGCATTTTGAAATTTTATGTGTTTATCATCAGAGAAGGTAATGTTGTGTTGTGCTAGTTTAAAGAATAAGACCCTTGGGAATAAATGGAGATATGCTTTTTTTAAAAAATTAATTAATTATTTTTGGCTACATTGGGTCTTCGTTGCTGTGTGCGGGCTTTCTCTAGTAGTGGCGAGCGGGGACTCCTCTGTGTTGCAGTGCGCAGGCTTCTCATTGCGGTGGCTTCTCTCGTTGCGGAGCCTGGGCTCTAGGCGTGCGGGCTTCAGTAGTTGTGACACATGGGCTCAGTAGTTGTGGCACGTGGGCTCTAGAGCTCAGACTCAGTAAGTTGTGGTGTGCAGGCTTAGTTGCTCCACAGCATGTGGGATCTTCCTGGACCAGGGCTTGAACCCGTGTCCCCTGCATTGGCAGGCGGACTCCTAACCACTGCACCGCCAGTGAAGTCCCTAGTTTACTTATTTTTACCAAACTTAAAATGCAAGTCTATTAGTATAGGTTTTGTTATATTTCTTTTGCAATGATCTTGAGCAAGTAGAATAAAATTCATGAGAATGTCATCTAATATCTCTGGTTGTATAGGCTTAAACTCAATTTTATGTACATTTAAAATATAACACCTGTTTTGTCTTTATAGTGGCTCAAGCATGTTGACGATCAAGGTAGACAATATTACTACAGTGCAGATGGATCTCGGTCAGAATGGGAGTTGCCAAAGGTAATAAACATTAACACTGGATTTCTGTTTAGAAATAGTAGATAAAATAATATCTGAAAATGGTTACAGCAGATTCACTTTTAAATTTTTATTCAACTTCTAAAAAGCAGCAAGACTAGTTTTTTCAGAATTCATCGAGAATCCTTTGGCTAAATTTTTCTAAGATGTGCATTATCTTATAGCTATATAATACTGATAATCCCTATTTAAAAATTCTTTTGGTTTAACTTGAAATCAGTTTTTCATTGTTCCTGGATACAGTGTCCCCTTCAGTGCCAATAATGCCAGTAGTTTCCTTGAATATATTGCGTCTTCTACATGAAGTTGGTCTTATATTTTTTTTTAAAGAAAGAAAAGCAACTCAGTATTCAAGTTTATTCTTGTATGTAGATGTGTGTTGTAATTGAGTCAGTCAGCTTGTGGCAATGAGATCTAGGGTCTCATTGGCTCTCTCTCTTTAGAGTGCACCAGGGCTGAGTTTATCTAAAGCAGTAGGTTTCATAGTGGTCATATACTTATCACTACTAGTATTCAGATAATTTTAAGTGAAATCTGAGCAAACATTTAAACTTTAATTGGTACATTATTTTAATGTTTTAGAAGGCAAGTGTAAGTAGCAGACATATCTGTAGTGTCAATTACCAGATAGACTTTAGTTTTCTTTGTCCTGGAGTAAGTCAGTTTAAAGAAAAATATTATTAGTATAAAGATACGTGGATATAGAAAAAAAGTCATTGAAATATAAAGTGCAGTGGATAGTGTAAACTATAGACAGAGGGACAGGTAGGTAACGAATATTAAAGCATAGTTAGGAGAAATGGAAGATGGGTGGGAAGTTTCCTACATTCATATATCAGGAATTCTAGAAGAAGAAAATGGAGGAAATGGTAGAGAAATAGTATTGGAAAATATAATTTCTGGGAATTTTCTAAAACTAAAGGAAGGCATGCACTTTTTATTTTTTATCATTTTTTTTTTTTTTTTTGCGGTACGTGGGCCTCTCACCGTTGTGGCCTCTCTCGTTGCGGAGCACAGGCTCCGGACGCGCAGACCCAGCGGCCATGGCTCACGGGCCCAGCCGCTCTGCAGCATGTGGGATCCTCCCATACCGGGGCACAAACCCGTGTCCCCTGCATTGGCAGGCGGACTCTCAACCACTGCGCCACCAGGGAAGCCCCAGGCATGCATTTTTAACAGGAAAATATGCCCTCAATACAGACCAGAAGAGAGAAAGATAAATACACGTGTTGACAGATTTTACTGGATCTATGGAAGTTCAGTAGAGGAGACGATCTTAAAAGCCATCAAAGGGTAGACAACCAGATTACCTGTGGTGTCAGACTGCAGCATTGGACCCATTCCTTACCCACCCCTGTATTGTATCAGTGCTGTCTGCTGTGTACTGTTGTAGTGGCCGCCCGCTGTGGATGGGGCGTATTGTCCTGCTGTTCAGATCACAGCATTGGACCCATTCCTTACCCACTCCTGTATCAGTGCTGTCTGCTGTGTACCTTTGTAGTGGCCTCCCGCTGTGAATGGGGCATATTGTCCTGCTGTTCAGATCGCAGCATTGGACCCATTCCTAACCCACTCCTGTATCAGTGCTGTCTACCTTTGTAGTGGCCTCCCACTGTGGATGGGGCGTATTGTCCTGCTGTTACCATCATGACTGAATCCAGTCTAGTCATATGACTTGCTTCCACTGGTGGGACATGAGCAAATGTGTCACAAACATGGTATTGAAATGGGCTTGTGTGCCAGGGCTTGCTCTTCCACTTCTGCCACTGCCATGAGAGGCATGCACCAGGCTAGCCTCCTGGACCCAGAAGGAGTAAATACATTTTAAGAAAATGAACAGAGCCTCAGAGATCTGTGGGAAAATACAGAAGATCTAACATTCATTTCATCAGAATTCCAGAAGAAGTGGAGAAAGAGTGTGAGGCTGAAAAATATATGCAGAAACAATGTTTGAAAACACCCAAATGTGCAAAAGACAAATCAACAGGTTCGAGAAGCTGAATAAGTACTAAACAGGATAAACTCAAAGAAATCCACATCCAGATGCATTGTAATCAAATTTCTGAAAATTAAAGAATTCCCTTTTTCCTCCTCCAAAAAAAAATCTTGAAAGCAGCTCAATGAAACAACATAGTACCTGTAGGGTAATAATGATTTGAATGGCATGGATGTCTTATCAGAAACCATGAAGCCAGAAGGAAGTGGTGTAACATTTTACAAATGCTGAAAAAAAAAACCTGTCAACCCATCATTGTACATCCAGCAAAAATATCCTTCAGGAATGAAGGTGAAATGAAGACATTTTCAGATGAAAGTAAACTAAGAGATATATTACTAGCAGTCTTGTTCTCAAAGAATTGCTATAGGAAGTCCTTAAAACAGAAGAGAAATGATAAATGAAGATAACTTGGAACATTATGAATGAAGAAAGTACAATGGGAAGCGTGAATATCTGAGGAGAGTTTTGTCCTGAGTTTTAAAAATTATGTTTGACCTTTAAAGCAAAAATTATAACGTTTCTGAAGAAGTACTCATTGTAGGCGGAGATGATATTTAAAACAACTATATCATAGAGAGGGGAGAGTACTATGATGTAATTGTTGGTAAGGTTTCCACATTTCACTTGAAATAGTAAAATGCTGATATTGGTAGACTGAGAGAAATTAAGTATGTACATTGTAATCCCTAGAGCAAGCACTAAAAAACTGTAACAAGAGATAGATTCAAGAAACTACAGGTAAATTAAACTATAATAGTAAAAACTCCTCAGGGTAGTCCACAGGAAGGCCAGAAAGGAGAAACAGGAATGATAAACAGAACAGAAAACAAATAAAATAGACTTAAATCCTAACATATAAATAATTACATTAAGTGTAAATGGTTTAAACACAGCTGTTAAAAGATTCTCAGAAATGACAAAAAGCCATGACCCAACTCTATGTTTCTACAAAAAGATCACTTCACATGTAATGATATATTACATCATGCTAAAGGTTATTTATCATATAATCAACAGTAAATCTCATACTTCATGGTGCGATTACAGAAGCTTTGCCAATAGAGTTAGGACCTAGACTGTAACTTTCCCATCAGTGTTTCTATTCAACAATAAAATAAAAAAAAATGAATTGAAAGATTCAGTTGTTCTTTTGATTATTAGAAAATCAGGAGATTCGGCAAACTGAAGAGTGATGATATTAAAATCAACCTAAAAAGCACCCATGTCTCTAATAAAAAGTCAATTTGAAAATGTGATAGGAATAAAGATCTTTTTTACATTAGAAGCAGCAGCAACACTAAGAAGAGTCATAACTAAGAATACGCCTGCAGAAGGTTTGGTTTGTAAGATCTTAATGAAGAAAATTTCAGAGCAGAATTGAGGGACATAAAAGTTGACCTGAAATGGTGCAATACACCATTATGACCTTGGGTTGGGACACTTAATTTTATAAATGTCCCCATTGATCAGTAAGTTCACTGTATTTCCATTTCCTGTCGCCGTCCCTACCTTTTTTTTGTCTTGAACTGATGGTAAATTTTATTTGCAAACAAAGGTCTATGAAGAACCAAAATGTTCCTGAGTAGGGAGAATCTGGGGGTAGGGATGGGGTTCCTGCTGTAGTGATTAAGTTGTGGGCACATCTGTAGAGAAATAGACCAGCAGAACAGAATAGGAATCTCAGTTGCGGCATCACAAATTAACAGATAAAGCGTGGGCTGTGCAATAAATGTTGGGAAGATTATTGGTTATTCACATGAAGAAATGAAATAAACATAGATCTTGACTTCACACCTAGTAATTAATTCCAGGTAGATGACAGTTGTCAACATAATAAGCAAAACTTTAATAGCTAAAGAATATGTCAAAGAATATCTTTGACTTCAGAATGGGAAGGATTTCTTAAACAAGACTATATAAGGAAAAATTATAAAGGGAAAGATGGACAGATACAACTACATAAAATTCAACAGAACACCTTTTGATACAAAAGATACCATACACAAAAGGCAAGAGATGAGCTTCAGACTCGGAAAAGTCTGAAAAAGCTACATTCAACTCACATAGCTTATGAAGCCTTAGAAGCCTAAATATATAAAGAGCCTCTTGGTTCTTTCTGTACACACTAGTGAGAGAGAGAACCCAGTCAAAAATAGGCAAAGTATATGACTAAGCAATACAGAGAAGAGGAGATTCATGAAATAAGTATATGAAAAGATGTTCAAATTTATAAGTAATCAGAGAATGCAAAAGAGATAACATTTCACTCTTCTAATAGAATTTTAAAAATTTGTGCACATGTGCATACATTTATTTTTTATACACAAATGCATATAAGTTCAACAGTACCAAGTAGGGCAGTCCAAAGTATTATGTTCTGCTGGTAGAAGTGTAATTAGTACTACCACCTCGGACATGTCCATTTACAACAGAATGGTTAAATCGTGGTATCTGCATATAATGTAGTGTTACATAGAAGTGAAACACAAATGAGTTAGAGCTGCATACTCACCAATATGGATGCAGGTTTTTTTGTTTTAATAAAAACATGTTGAGTGAAAAAGCAAGTCGAAGATTGATGCGTGTGATATTCCACTTTTATAAAATCTAAAAGCTTACAGGTGTATTTACAGATACATACATATGTACTAAAGTGTAAAGTGCGTGAGAATGGTGAGCACCGAACTATATGGTACTGTCAGGGAGGGAGGGAGAGGAATGGAATCTGGAAGATGTCTTCAGAGGACTCTAGTATTTTTTTTCTTTAAAAAAAATAGGTTCCTGTTTTATGTTAGATATGCTGAAGCTTGTGGTGGGTTTTTATTATAGTCACTGTTCTTTTGTATGTTTGAAATAATTCAAATAAAATTGCAATTAAAATTCTTAAAAGAAAAAAGGTGTTCTAAAAAGATTTCTAAAATGTTGTTTTAGCCATCTTGTTTAACTAGACGTGTGTGTGTGTGTATTTTAGCTGTGGTGTCATCTTATTTTTCTTTTCTCTGATTATGTGACACTTTATTTTTGTCTTCTGTCTACACTAGATTTTATATGACATTTTATTGGTGCTTTATTTGCTTTTATCAACATACTGTTGCCTAATAAAATTACCAGCACCTTTTAAATTGTGAATATTACCCAGTTTAATTTTACATTATTTTTCTTGCCCCTTGGAAAGGATTTCTAAACAACTGTAGTTATAAAGCTCAACAGCTAGGGTAGGTATCCATTAAAGTTCATACACAAGCTTACACGCAACTACACATTTTAATTATTGCTAATGATGATTGTCTGGAAGGAGCTCTGCTTAATAACTCGGTCTCTCTTCACTTAGTGATTTACGGCGCAGCATTTTTGGGGGGGAAGCCTTTAAGCTTCGTCTTTGTTCATTCTAGAAGTGATCCCTTTGTTAACTTCTGTGACAGATTTTAAGATGGCGGTTTGTTAAGCAGCAGTGAATGAAAAACATACACCCGTATGTGCTTGCCTGGCTTTGGCAAGTTTTTAACGTAAAAAACGAAGTAACAGCTTTGGAAACAGTTTGGGGGACCTGTCTGGACTCATTTTGGAAAGTGAAGAAATGGCATATTATGGAGAAAGATGTTGGAAGGTTTTTAAATTTTAAAAACAATATAAATAATATATTACTGAGATTTAGTAGTATAACATATAATAAAACATTTCACTGAAATTACGAGTCATTAAAATTTAAGATTTACTGGGCTTTTTAGAGAAGTAGATATTAGGTATCCTTTGGTTTCAGGAGAAGGATGTATCCCTTAAAAAGCAGATGAATTTTCTTTTGTAATTTTATTATAATTTATTATTTATAATTTATTAAAACTGCCTGTATAAAACAGCATAACTCTTAAACCTCACATTTCTCAAATGTTTATGCCTGGTGGTCTACTTGACATTTCAGACACTCACAAGACCTAATACCTTACTGATAATGTGTTCTTAATTTTATATTTCATTTTCATTTGGTAGTTCTTACTTATCCTTTGTACACAACTGATATGTTCAGGATTGGTGTTTGGAAGGAGGTACCATCTCTGCCTTTTGACTCGGTTATGTTTTACCACTTCAGAGAAACAAATAATAGTGTGTTTGGCCTATATATGGAAAGTAAAAGTAAAAACAAAAACTCCTTTAAATGTGAGAATACTGTTGTATATGAAAACATCTTTAAAAAAACCTAAACCACAAATTGAATTCATGTGGATTTTCGAAGTAGAAGGAACCCTAAAAAATTAATTTGTCCAGTGACCTCATTTTATAAATTATAACTACTGATATTTATTGAGAACCTATCAGGGCTACATCTGGCACTTTTTATACTGTTTAATCCTTAGAACTCTATTTCCATTATATCTGTTTTATAGTTGATGAAACTTAGCCTTGTGGAGATTAAGTGTTTTGCCAAAGATAACATTAACTTGGTCTCTCCAGTACCCAAATCTGTGATCTTCTTGATTGTGTCACAGTGCTGGTCAAAGATGAGAAAACTCAGGTTAGTGTCACATGGTGAATTTTGCCTAACACCATGTGTCATTTGGAGCCAGCATGTTTAGATTCCACTTTTGTTTCTATTATTTATGAGGTATAATTTGTTTTCTTTAGTATAATGCCTCATCTCAGCAGCAAAGAGAAATTATTAAAAGTAGGAGTCTGGACAGGCGGCTGCAAGAACCAATAGTGCTAACAAAGTGGAGACATAGCACCATTGTGCTGGACACCAATGACAAGGTAGGACCTTCTGAGAAAATCTGCTGCGAACTTTGCCAAGTTCTTTATTCTGTATTTTCTCCTCAGCTGAATCTCATACCTTGGTGATGACTGGTTTATTGTATGTCATATCAGTTTGTCCCGGAGTGGGGTTTGGTTTTGAAGTTTTTTGATTTTTGCACAATGGACTGACTTACATGTGGCATAACGATGTGTTCCATGATACATTTGGGCCTAGTAGGTGACAGGTTTTTTTTCATAATCTCTTTTTAAAGTCACATATCCGTTATTGTTTGTCTTCAGTCTCTAGGAGGTTTAACGGTAAAGACGTTTAACTAACTTTCCCGTCCCAGGGAAGATTGGAACCCTGCTCCTCCTGTTTCCCTAAGTGCTATTTGCACAAGTGCTTCTGAGAAGTCATGTTCTCTGTTTCAAATAAGGAATGGATTTTTTTTTTTTTTTTTTTGCGGTACGCGGGCCTCTCACTGCTGTGGCCTCTCCCGTTGCGGAGCACAAGCTCCGGACGCGCAGGCTCAGCGGCCATGGCTCACGGGCCCAGCCGCTCCGCGGCATGTGGGATCTTCCCGGACCGGGGCACGAACCCGTGTCCCCTGCATCGGCAGGCGGACTCTCAACCACTGTGCCACCAGGGAAGCCCCAGGGAATGGATTTTGATGCAAACGTGAGATTGGAAAAGCCATGAAGTTTTGAATTTCCTTGTGAGTTACATCTTTACATTGTGACTTCATTTTGGGGATAGAATAGGAAATTAGTACGAATTTGTAGAACAGCAGACATACTAATGTTAAAGCCTGAGGGTGGTGGCAACACCCTAAAGCTAAAATATTGGTCGCTGGGGACTCTGTTATTTTACCACCAGGCTGCTCCTTTGACATAATTAATGTTTCCTGCATTTTTAGGTAGTTAGTGAAAACAGGATGAACTCTCCTGAGGCGTATTTCTCTGTGTTTGTATGCTTTCAGTCCTAAATTCCTTTCTAAATTATCTCAGTCAGTCAGTCAGTCAGACAAGTACTTCTGATTTCTGTTTGTAAGGATGTGATGTGGTTGAATGTAGGGGGCATATTAAAGGAATGCAATTTTGGAGTCTGTCTATTGAAGAATGCTTGAAAATATTTTGGGTTGGCCAAAAAGTTCATTTGGGTTTTTCATAAGCGCTTGTGGGAAAACCCGAACGAACTTTTTGGCCAACCCAATATACTAGCATTGAGGTTAACCTGTGTAGTTAAGAGTCCTAGAGATTTTAATAGAAAAATTCATTTAACTCCAAGAACCAGATTACAGTTCAGTGTATACAGAAAGCTTCTACTGTATGTAATGAAAGCTCTAGTGCGAAAGCCGTTGTTGAGCCAAATCTACTGCCTCTTCGTACTAGAACAAAAGGGATGGTTATTTTAGTGATGTAGACTTAAAATTTGTTACTCCCTTATAATCTTTCTTGAGATTCATTTTCAGTTTATTATTAGAATAACCTGCATGAAGTTCTTATTATATATCCTTTTTCATCTAATTGTTTCAGCGTGTGATAACGTGATTTTCTTGAGACCAGAGCTCTACTTATTTTTGGTAGACATGTCTCCCCCCCACCTTTATAAATGGAGTCATAGATAGCTACTTCACCAAGTAAACTCTTCTATTTATCATTACATAGTATACACGATTTTAAGATTTGAGATTATAAAAGAGGGACTATACCAGAACAAACTAGCTGACTAATATATGATAAGGGGTGAAATGCGTATAACTTGAAAGGTAATCAGAGAAACCTAATACTATGTAGTGAATGTTGTTATGATGATATGGGTCCTAATTCAGTTGCCAGACAACCTTGGTGGAGCTAGGTGTGTGTGCGTGTGTGTGTGTATGGATACATCTGTTTGTTTCTGCCTATGTATGATTTTTACCAAAACCTGCTGCTTGTAGACATTAAGATGTATTTATATGTGCATATACATTTATAAGTATACATAAACAAATGGGTAAATGTAAAATTGTTTATAATAATTATAATTGTGTTTACATTATTACTCCATTTGCTATGGTTTTCATTTCTGTAGGACTGATGATGCCATGAAAAATAAGTTGTAATTATCATTCATTTTATTCAATTACTTATTTTATAGTTTATGGGTCATCAAATCTTTCCTCTTTTTCTCAGAGTGTTTTAATATTAGACGCTTTTAGAAGTCAAGAAATTGAAAAGTAAAACATCTGAAGCTGTTAGAAAAAATACTTAAATGAAGCTAAACTGATACTTGGACATTAAATGTAATTAATTTTTATAAAGATATATTTGATAATGATTTTAATGTTTTCTCCATTTATAGTGTAGGTCTTAGATTTTAAGGTTGTTACCTTCAAGGATTTTCCCTGTACAGTTTCACTGCTACCTGGTTTCTGTATTTACGAATTGTACAGGATATAAACCTGAAGACTTTTTTCTAAGTGAATGGATTTTATTAATGGTTTTTTGTATTGTGATTTAATACAAATTCCCAGGCTTATCAACAGTACGTTATCCAGTTTCATAAGTATAGTAAAGTAGATGATACAGATGTGAAGATGAATGTCCAAGTAAATTATTTGGTTTTATAGGAAAAATAATAATAGACATTGGCATATGATTTTCCTAATTCTCTTTTCCTGAAATTATTCAGAGCTTCTAGGAGAACAGAGAAAAGTGGAGCTTGGTAGATACCATTGGCTACCAGTGGCTCTTGGTACCAAAAAATGTTTTTTCAGTCTTATCCTCCACGAATAGTTTTACAGATATCTGAGGTAGAAATCACATACCATGTTTTAATATTAACAAAGCAGAATTGCTTTAAAAATGCACATTATTGGTTTGCTCCTATTATATATTCTTGTAGGCTTAGACATTAAAATATTTTTTTTTCCTGGTGAGTTATTAATCTGTAAATCTGAGGTTTCTTCTTTGCATTTTAAACAATCTTGCTTATTTCTAATAATTGGAAAGTTAGCTATAAATTATATTAAATATTAATAGCAATTTAATTTCTTAATACAAGTTCTCATTCTGGCAGTTGCCAAGTAGTTCCTGTGACTATTCCTTGCCTAATCCTAAATCCTAGACCAGGATTCATACCAAGAGCAAGTTAGTATGGGGACTGTTACATTTTTATCCGTAAGTGTTTGGATTTTACTTATTTTAAATATGGTTAATTTAAGCTGATGCAACATCATGATTTTAAGGCAACATGCATCATTTCTTTTGAGTAATTCCGTATGCGGTATTTAAATTTACTGTAATTCGTATAAAATATGCCATATTTCATAAACTTTATGATATCTGTAGTTTTCACATCTGTACCATATTAGTTTCGTAGCTGAATATAGAAGGGAAATAACTAGGAAAAAATTTTTCTTAGCGTCCCTTATTAAGCTTTCCCACTGTCAGTAGAGGGAGAAATATAATTATATGAAATAGAGTAACATTTTTCATTACTTATTTCTTGTAGGAATCTCCAACTGCCTCAAAACCCTGCTATCCTGAAAATGAGTCTTCTCCCTCTTCACCAAAGAACCAAGATACAGTTAGTATGATAGCGGCATATAGATAATACAGTCCAATTATTTCAGTCAATTTCAGTAAATTAATTTTCTCTAAGTGTAATGTTTAAAAATACCTCTTGGGCTTCTATTAAATTTCATTGGTCTTTCAAAAAATAATCAGATAATAGGTTTAAATTAAAAATCAGATTTTATTGATTTAAAAATTCCCCCTTTTATGCAAAATATGGTATCTTCGTGATCAACTTGTATACCATATTTGTAAGCAGTGAATTTATGTTTGGCTGTTAAACATAAATATAAAAATCCCTGGAGAATACTGTCAAATTACACTTTACCCTTCCTTCCTCAGGCCAGCAGTCCAAAGGTAAGAATCATTTCCCTCCTTCTTAACAAGCTTTAGATGCCTTCCCCCCCCCCCCCCCCGCCGCCGCTAAGCTGTCAAATGCATTGCCCAGCCTAGGCCAGGTAATATTGGCGATACAGTGACTTCTCTTCAGTTATTCATTCATTCATTTATTTGCTGCCTTGGGTCTTCGTTGCTGCGTGCGGGCTTTCTCTAGTTGCGGTGAGCGGGGGCTACTCTTGGTTGCGGTGCGCGGGCTTCTTACTGCGGTGGCTTCTCTTGTTGTGGAGCACGGGCTCTAGGTGCGTGGGCTTCAGTAGTCATGGCACGTGGGCTCAGTAGTTGTGGCTCACGGGCTTAGTTGCTCTGCGGCGTGTGGGATCTTCCCGGACCAGGGCTCGAACCCGTGTCCCCTGCTTTGGCAGGTGGATTCTTAGCCACTGCGCCACCAGGGAAGCCCTTCTCTCCATTCGTAACTTTGGAGGAATCCTACTTGATCTTGGTGTTTGCAGCACCCCCGTCCCCAAGTCTAGCCTGTGATTTGCCCCTCCTGCTCTTCCCCTCCAGCGGCTCTCCTTTCCTTTTAGAAGGAGGATGCAACTTTGTAACGAGCTCTGCAACACTGCGCCTGTCCCGGGTCCTCATCTCCCCTGCTTGCCCCCACTTGCGTGTTTTCCTGCAGCCCTGCCACTCTCCTCTCTGCAAAGGAGCCTGCTCTTCAGCTCCAGCCCCTTCACGCACTGAAACCCATCTTCCCTGACGTCTTTGCCTGGTCAACTTCTGGTCATTCCTTAGAGCTTGGTTCAGGCTCGGAATTTTCTTCAGATCCTCTAGATTTGGTCAGGTTTCCCTGTGATACTCTTAATAACATTTAATTATATGTTATTTGATTCCATAAAATGGAGTAACTCTTCTCATTTCCTATTTCTTGTAGGAACTTCCAACCCTCAGTTAATGTCTTCCCCACTAGACAAGGAAAAGACTCCTTAGAGCAGAGCCAGCGTAACCCCAGTGCCATAGAGCCGCTATTCCATGGGGTTTTGCCAAAAGGAAGAAATGAAACTTTTAAAGCTTTCCAGAAGACAAACTTTTATTGTTACTTCCTTAATTTTAAGAAACTATAATAGACTCTTGTTTATTAGGATACTTCTGATTTTCTAGAGGCACAGGTTTCTCACAGATGCTGTTCTCCTTGTCTGGCTCTTTTCTCCATCCCCTGAGCAAATCAGGTCTTTTGGTTCCTATCACGTGTTGTCCACCCGTCCTGCTGATATTGCACAGGTGGTTTCCCTGCCTCCCGTGGTCCTCAGCCTCTCTGCACCTACAGTTAATCTTGTGCTGACCAGTGGGATGACCCCTTAGGGCCTGCCCACACTAACCTCAGCATAATAGCATCTCTTCTTTTTCTTTGAGCTCTCAAGTCACTGATGGCATTAATCGTGTGAAAGTTACCTCATGTGCCCCTCAGCTCTCTGCTAAGGGTTTAAACTTTGAAGGGACTCAGAGAGATAGAGAGGGGCTGCTTTCTAATACTTTTTATCTTTTGCATTATTTAACACAGTCCTGGGTGCATGAACATTAAATAAAGATCAAAGTGAACATGATTTTAGTGGTATTGTCAGGATTTCCTGTATGAATGTAAGGTGCTATTACTGCAGTATTCTTAATCTATCCATCCATCTAGAAAAGAGGCAGAAACGCTTTTTAGCTTATTTTAAATATGGGTAATATGTAACTTCTGAGAAGACCTTTTATAAATTATTTACATTTTGGTAAAAGGGAATTTCTTGGTAATCCTGGAAACATGAGTTTATAAGTGTTCGCATGGGAGTTAAAAGGACGGTTTGCAAATTATTCCCCCAGGCAGTTACCCCTTTCACGAGAGTTTGCCAGTCACCTGACTGCCCCAGACTCAGGGTCCCCTCTGGTGGCCATGGCCGGGAACTGCCTCAGCAGGGTTCTGTTTCGTTCTTCATTTACCTTCGGGTGGAAAACAGGAACAGCTCTGTTAATTCTGCTGAGGCTGTTCTGTTTCCCTTTAAGTGTGCAGCGTCCTTCCCCCCAAGCCCCAGTCTGGCCCCCCCGGGCTTCTGCTCCCCAGAGTCTCTTCTTTCCTCCTGCAGCCTCTGCTCCCTCTTCTCTTCTTGCCCTGTTTGAATGGAGTCTTTTGCCTGTCTTTCCCACTCTTACCCAGTTAATACAAGCAGATTTCTTTTTTTTGGTTCTTTGTGAGTTAAAATCTGGTTGGTGTAAGGCCTTAGTGGTAAGAAAAAGAAACTGACATCGTAATCAGTGTTCGTTACCTCATGGCATCTTTAAATCTCTGCAGATTACCTATTGAATCTCTTTTTTTATTTATTTTTTGTTAAAACCGTATTGAAATATGACTAACATACTACACCGTTCACCCGTTTAAAGTGTACAGTTCATTGGTTTCTAGTATGTTCAGATAAGTGCAACCATCAGGACAGTCATTTTAGAACATCTCATCACTTCAAAAAGCAGTACTCGTTGCTGTCACCCCTCTGCTTCCACATCCCATCAAGCCCTAAGCAACCAGTAATGTGCTTTCTATCTCACTAGGTCTGCCTCTTCTGGACACTTCACATGCGTGGGGTCATAGAACACATGTTCTTGTTTGACAGGCTTTGTTCACGTAGCATGTGATGCTTTCTTTCAGTCTCCTCTAATCAAACCAGATTAAAATTTCATCCCTTAATATAAATTTTAAACATGTTCATTTTTTCTTGTCTTATTTCCAGTTTTCAAATGCATTGTTATTTTTCATAGTCACTTCAAGTCCTGTTTTTTTTTTTTTTTTTTTTGTTTCGCGGGCCTCTCACTGTTTTGGCCTCTCCCGTTGCGGAGCACAGGCTCCAGACGCGCAGGCTCAGTGGCCATGGCTCATGGGCCCAGCTGTTCTGTGGCATGTGGGATCCTCCCGGACTGGGGCACGAACCCATGTCCCCTGCATCGGCAGGCGGACTCTCAACCACTGTTCCACCTGGGAGGCCCTCAAGTCCTTTTTTGAAATAGGTAGTGTATACATTTTTTTAAAATTGATATTTCTCTAAAATATGACTGCCACACATGGATTAAATAGGATTTTGTAGGCTGATCTAAGAACCTCATCTCTATTTGTCCCAGTGTGCCTATGAGGATGTGCATTTTAAAGTTCTCATTTACTGAATACTGAATACAATTTTAAGTATATAATTTGGAAACTTGAACTTTTGACCTTGTGTTTCCAATTATGGTATTAAAATGCTTTACCCACTTTGGAGAAAAGGGCATTTCAACACGTTCGTTACCAAAAGGGTTTAGTGGACAAATTGGCTAATTTTTTTTCATTGAATATTACTATTCTAAAGCCTTTTTTAAAAACATGATTTTAACAATTTTTTATAACACTGGTTCTTTAAACATTTTTTTAATCGAGGTGAAATTCACATAACATAAAATTAGCCATTAACCACTTTAAAGTATATAGTTCAGTGGCTTTAGTGTATTTAAAATGTGTGTAGCTGTCACTCCTGCCCAGTCTCAGGACACTTTCATCACCTCAGAGGGAGACCCCTACCATTAAGCAGTCATTGCACCTTTCCCCACCTCTTCTCCCCTCTGCATGGCAACCTCTAGTTTGAAGGTCTGTATGGATTTACCTGCTCTGGAAGTTCTATCACACTGGTTCTTTTTCAGCATCTCACAGGGCAAGGTTACTTACTCTGTAGAGAAAGAATCTTTTTATTACATGATTATAACATGATTAACCGAAGATAAAGATTTTAATGGGAGGTATTGATTTTGATATATAATAATTATTAGCCAAAATTGGGAAATGCTTATCTTACTAAATGAATGTAAAATCAATTAGAAATTCTGGAGCCTGCAAAGTGATTATGAACGTGTGGAAGTTTTCCCAGATGACTCAACAGAACCGACATTTTATTGTTTTCTTGCTTTAATTAGGATAGGACAATCTTACTACAATATTTTTGGTTAAAATTTAACAATATTTTGCCAGTTCATATTAAAACATTCCTGCTTATTTTCAACACGAAGTTTCCCTTGGAGTATCGACATATTTAGACTAAGAAATATTCACGTGTGAGTATGGGCAGTTTTTAAAGGACTTAACGAGGTATTTTTATGAAGTTATTTTAGTAAGCTACACAAAAACATTGGTTGACTTTGAATCATATTAAGTAGAGAAGAGTACACCAAACAGCATGGAATAATAATCTGCCTAAATTCCCCCTGAAATCCACACCTGTATAGCCAGACCTGTATCTGCCTGCCTGTCACTTTTATGTCAAATTCAGAACTTCAGTGTTTAAGAGTTAAAGCTTTATTTTCTCCATCACTGACCTTCTCTTACATTTCTTGGTAGTGTGATAGCACGGCTGCTTTGTTGGTTAATGACTTCAACAAACATGTGTTGAGCCCCGGCACCATGCTAGCCGCTGTGCTGGGCGCTGTCATACATGGTGAGCACAGCAGATGTGGTCCTGACGCAGAGCCTGACAGTAGGTGGCGAATAAATAATATGTAATTGTGCTTTGCATTAGGTGCGACGAAGGAAACAACCTGGGGGCTGTCGTCAGTCATTGGAGGGCAGAGGAGCTCCTACCGCAGGGGTCAGGGACGGCTCCTCTAAAGCTTGTCGTTGCAGCTGAGGGCCCCCAGCTACCCAGCTGCTCAAGCTTGGGAGTCTCCCCGATCTTGCCTCTTACCTCCCGTCCTGTCCCTGTCAGTCCTGCCTTCCGAGTCGCTCTCACGTGTGGCCCCTCTTCACCCTCTCAGGCCTCTCCCTGGGCCAGGCCGTCAGCACCTCTTGCATTGATAGGAGTTATCAGAACACTGTTCCGGTGGCGCTGCATCACCTGCTCCCGCCGCGCTCGTTCCGCTGCCCCCTCTCTCTCGCTGCTGCTCTGCTGCACCCTGTACGCTGAGGGAACCTAAGCCTTGTAGAGATGATGCGCTTCCAGCTTCTGTGCCTTCACCTGTCCGTCGTTTCTGTGTGGCCGACTCCTGTTGCTCGCTCCTGGGTCAGGGTCTCCGGGAAGCTTCTCTTCCTCCCTACTCCCCTCTCAGGTGGAGTTAGGTATGCCTTCCTCAGAGCACTTTGCACACCGCGTGGTAATGGTCATTGTATTGGTACGTTTTGGACGTGGCACATTTTGTTCTTATTTTATGTTCACGTTAGAGTGCTTACCGCTTAGAGCATTAGTGCTTGGGTCTTGGTCCCTGTGAGAATTTCATGAGAGCTCTGGGCCTTTCCCTTGAGTGATGCAGGTACACGCACGATTATGTGCGGTGTTGGTCCAGCCATGACTCAGGTAAGAATCCCTGATCCAGAGCGTCTCTTTCCCCCATAGGCTTTGGCCGTCTGTCACTGCTGCTGTCCCTTCCATTTTTCTTCCTGTTTTGATGCTGGCATTTCCTTCCTGTTTCTGCTTTTTCACCCTGCATAGTTCCAGCTTTGGTGTTTTTTAATAGGCTTATTCCCACCTCCGCCCTTCCAGTTCCTGTGCTCACATCACCAGCGCCCATCCTCTCAGATTAATGTTACTTAGTTCCTGGATCATTGAAAGTTTTTCTTTCCCTCCCTGCTTCTGATGGTAAATTGGGAAAGTTCTTACTTAACATCCTGTGCATACTTACCACCGTGTAATTGATATTTTTATTGAGAGGCAACAGAGAGCTCTTATGAAATGTATCAGACTTGCATATCTAAGGAGATCCAACCTATGCTTTGTGAAAAAATTATAGTAATATGGATGTTTCCCAAGTTCCCAGTATAACAAAAGTGAATAACGTAATAGTTTGTCAGCTTTGTCTATAGATGTGAGTTATTATCAGACCAGGCAGAACTTTCAGATATTATCTTTTAGACATTAGTGAGAAAATAATGCCATGTTTATCTCTCATACAAGAAAGAATTTTTTTTTCTAATTAAAGTACCTTGAGAAAATAGCTGAGGTAAATAGTTAGAAATAAATTCTGAATTGAGACTATTTTTTCCTGTGTGTGTGTGTACTGTGTGTGTGTGTTTTAACTGAAGTAAAATTGACTGCTTGGTCGTTTTCATACAGTGCTCACTAATGGATGATTGCTGTGGGCACAAACGCATTTTGATTAAATTCATTTGACTATAGAAGGCTAGAGCAATGAGAAAGTGCTTCTTCAGTTCCACCTGGAAGAATTTTAAGATAACATTTAACTTGAGCACAGTGACTTTTGCCTTCCTAGGGTTTGATGATAAAGCTGTGTTGCTGTGTTTTACATCAGCTGACTAATAGATCTAGTTTGTCCAGAGCCCAATTTGCCATCTGATAATATGTTTAATGAAGCAACATATTGAATTCTTTATGCCACATTAAGGCCAGTTCTATGCATAGTGCCACTTACTTTTAAGTAATTTATTAAATACAGTCACTGCATTTGTTCTACCTACTTATTTTCACATTCTGACAAAGTGGGTTAGTATCTTAAATAATTTTCAGACTACACTGTTCTAAAATGACAGCCAAGTAAACAGTTCCTTTTTTGTGGTATTTATAGCATCGTATCACTTGGTTTGAACAGGAAGTCATAAATCATTTTTCCAGTGCTGATTTGTAGCATTCATGTAGAAATTTAATTTGATTTTACCTTATGGCTGCTCTTCCTTGAGAAGACCAAGTGTTTTGTTTTGTTTGTTTGTTTTTGCGGACTCCCAACCACTGCGCCACCAGGGAAGCCCAGACCAAGTGTTTAATTACAAAAATAACTGAAAAAAATCTTTACAGAAGTATTAGGAAATTATATTCTTAATGTAGTCTAGAACTAACCATATTACACACTGACTGATCTTCTCTTTTAAGCTAATATTTAGAGTACCAGATCATTTTGATTCAGTCCTATGTAAGAATTTGGACTTCACTGTCTGTATGAATGATCTATAAACAGTAATACCTCTGTTCCATATCATAGGGTCAAGAGAAATACGGATTATTAAATGTAACAAAAATTACTGAAAATGGGAAAAAGGTTCGGTAAGTACACAGATCATTAATGTTCTCACATGTTTCATCTGATTGATATAAGTAAAAACTGAATATAATTATATTCTAGTAGAAGTGATTAACAGGTTCAGAGAATTTTAAATGTGTTTTCTAATATGGATATAAGATTGTCAGGAAGTAGAGGAAAATTTTTCTTTGTCTTGACCTATTTCTAAAGGTAAGATTAAATTCAGAGGTGATAAGGCGGAGGATTCTGAGCAGGCATTAGCTTTATTAAAAATTTTTTTCAATAAGTGATAAATGCACATGGCAAAATACAAACATACACAAAACATGTAGTCAAAAGTCAGTCACCAACCATCAGTTTCCCTCCCCAGAGGTAACCAGTTATGTCTAGTGAGGTGTACTGTCTTCCTCCAGAGATAGAAAGTAGATACATTTACATGTGCATAGATTAATATTTTTAGCACAGTCTTTTAACAGTTTATCTTGGAGACGGTGCATTTCATTGCATGTACAGCTGACACATAGTTTCTAACTACTGCATAGTTGTATGTTGTATGGCTGCCTCATCGTTTATTTAACTGTTATTTATTTGCAAGTGTGTCTATTGGTAGACATTTAGGATGTTTCCATTTTTTGCTATTACAAACAGTATTACCCTCTGTGTCTTGCACGGTTCATTTTGCAAGTATGTAGATATGCCTGTAGAACGTATTTTATGAAAGTGGAATTGCTAGGCCATATGCAGTTGGACATTTTCATACAATTCCAAATTGTGCCCTAAGGCCCTCAGTCAGTTCCAACCTCAGGAGCCTTGGATTTCTCCATGCCTTTGCCCATTCAGTATGTTGTCAAACCCTTTGATCTTTGCTAATAGAGATTTGAGAGAAAATGGTGTTTTTACTTACGTTTCTTTTTAGTGGGGTAGAGTACCACAAGCCATTTATATTTCTTTTTCGTTGTTGTCCTCGAATTATCAGTTTATACCCTTTGTCTCTTTTTCTGTTGTGTTGTTGGTTTTTTTTGGTTAATAAATTAAGGAAATTAACTCTTTGTAAGGTAAGTTCCATTTTCCCCAGCTTTAAAAAACCGCTGAAATGCTAGGGTTTTATAGCCAAAGTGAGGTCAGTCTGTTGTTAAAGAAAGAGTTTAAAATTTACATGTAGTTGAGTTTTTTAGATTTGCTTTAATTGAACTTTGTCAGATTTTGGTACTTGGAAGTTTTTCTTTTAAGTGCTTTGAAATAGCTTTACAAATACTGCAATTACCTGTTCCTGAAGCTGTTCCTTGGTAGAAGTCATGTGAATTGGATCTTTTTTTTCTTTTCTCCCTTTTGGGCATATGTAGTGCAGGTAGGTCTTTGGCCACTTTCCCTGTTTTCATTGCTGTCATTTTTCCTGCGATAATTAGTTTTTTAGATTTTCTACTTACTTTGGAATGCTTTTTGGAATACTTCTCCTAAGAATATCATCCGTTTCATTATATTCAAATTTATTTATATAGAGCTGAGCACAATGGTATTTTAATTTCCTGTATTTTAGTGTTTATCAAACATTTTGTTCTGAGGACCTCTTTAAACTCTTAAAAATTATTGGTTAGTGCAAAGAACTTTTGTCTATGTAGTTTATCTAGAATTATTTACTGTAAAAAATTAAAACTGAGAAATTTTAAGAATCTCTATTAACACTTTTAAAACTAATAACCTGTTACATGTTAACATGAATAACATCTTTTATGAAGAAAACCCCCTGTATTTTCTCATGCAGAAAACTTCCATGAGAAGCGTGGCATTGTTTTATGTTTTCAGAAATCTTTACCATTTGGCTTAATGCAAGACGCCTGGATTCTCATCTCTGCTTGCAGTCAGTCTGTTGCAATATATTATTTTGGTTGAAGTATATAAAGAAAATGCTCCTTTACATAGATCAAGTTGGAAAAGGGAGGAATATTTTAATAGCCTTCTCAGATAATTGTGCGTATTTTTCTGCTACACCAAAACGCCAAAAGTGTTAGTTGCAATGAAGATTGTGAAGAACTATCCTTGAACTTTCAGTACTCAGTTACATTAAAATCCATGGGCCTGTGTTGCATTGTGAATGCATCTTTACCTATGCTTAGTTTTGTAGCATCTTGTAGGTCATTTGGAAAATACTGGTTTACTAAGTTTGCCGATTTTTCAAGTGTTGGCACATTTTATTTTATGATACTAAAGAATCATAAATCAGTAATATCGCCATCAGAGTCACTAAGTTTTGGAATATTGTCAGCCTCACAGTGGCAGATGTGCCAAGTTTTCCAGAATTCTGCTTTCTGTTTGAAAGCTTTGTTATTGTGAACATATACTATCATTTATTTTCCTTGAAATGAAAGGCTCACTTCATTTATTTTTGAGATAATGTCTACCTGCCAAGTAGTCAAGTCTAAATAATCAGTGTATCCGTCAGTTGTTTGTTCAGGAAAAAATTGGTTCCATGAAAAAGGTGTGACTAATTCTACCTGCAACTCAATATTTGGATACTGTCATTCATTCAGTACCCAAATATTCAATATTTGTTCTGAGATATACATTCTACAGTTTTTTTTATTTTGAAAATTAAACTCAAAAAGTTTATTTAAAGTGGAAATACATATATATATATTTTAAAGTGAGAATATATTTTAGCATTTTTCAGCATAGAGAAGTTAGATATTATCTAAAGAAATATAAGATGGAATATAAAATGAATTTACCAATGAAAATAAATCCTTCCAAAATATCTTGAGGTCCACACAAAACAAAATAATAAAATAAAATGAAAATATAATAAAATGATGACAGAATAGGTACCAAACATATGTGTCGTATCAGTATAAATAAATGTAAATGCACTATATTCATCTGTTGAAAGAAAAAGGTGCTCAGACTGAAACACAAAGCAAAACCCAGTTCAATATTACATACAAAAGAGACATCTGAAAAACGATTCAGAAAAGTTAAAACAAATAACGCATATCAAAGGCATAAAAAGTAAAGCAGGAATAGGGATCTTAATAGCAGACAGGTTCAACTCAGGGGGAAGGCACTAAGCATCTTTAAAATGATAAAGCACTGTGGATCAATCCACAGTGAAGATCTCATCATTAGAAATAGCCATTCACTGAGTAACTAGTGTTAATGACCATAAGCAAAACAACAGGAAATAAAAGGAAAAATAGAGATTCAGTAGGAGTAAACTTTATTTCACTTTTCAAGTTCAAGTGGACATAAAAAGTCGTAAAATAATCAAGTAGGTTTAATTGGTAGATATTAAATTCTACATTCTGAATATGGAGAATAAACCTTTTGAGTGCCTATAAAGTTTTCACAAAACTGGCCATATGTTTGGCTATAAGGCGAGCCTTAATAAATTCCTGTGGAAGATACATTTGACGTTCGTTTTAGCCTGCCAGCAATTAAATTGCCTTATAACGTAAACACTGGTTACCTCTGGAGAGGCGGTTGAAGGAGAAGAAATGGGGCCTTTTTCTGTATACATTTCTACGTTCAGAGTTTTGATATAGTATGTGTGTTGATTTTGTAATTTAGGAAAGATTTTTTAAAAGCCTCATTTTAGTAATAGTAACCTTAGTTATCAACCAGCATGTAATTTATACGATCTACTTGCTCACCTGGTGTAGCCTTATTAAGGGAAGGAAGATAACTAAGAGATATAAAACAATCTGTATCTACAGAGAATTAGGTAAGATGAGCATGTTTGTCGAATTTTTAATTGTGAATAAGAATTCTTGCCAAATGCAGTGTTCAGTTCATGTGACTCTAAATTAGTGCCCTTGATCACAAATGTGCTGGATTACCCCCATGTGCACACAGTTAGGTGTGTAGTTATTCTGATAACTTACGTCTCTCATTGACTTCATTAGTTTTGGGACCATAAAATGATTGTAATTTCCATTAGAATTATATCCCCAATAAAAACAATTAGAATGTCAGTATGACTGTAAATTGTGGACAACATTGATAACAGCTAAGTAGGTTTTAAGTTTTTAAATTTGGTGGGAAAAACTGGATATGGAGCTTTAATTGGCCGTCTTTATCATTACAGAAAGAACTGGTTGTCTTCTTGGGCCGTGTTGCAGGGTTCATCTTTACTGTTTACCAAAACTCAAGGAAGTAGCACAAGTTGGGCAAGTATTTCTTTTCTTTGGAGGCTTTCTACATTTAAATTACGTGGATGGTGTTGCACCTGAACTTCACGAAGTATTCCAGAGTCCTCCCAGCTACCGCTAGCTTGCAAATAAGAGTAAATGAGGTTTTCTTAGTTAAAGATGCATTTTGACTCCCAAGAGAAAGAAAAGGGCTACTTAGAAAAGTCTGGCTCATATTGTTAAAACCAACCGATTATATTTTATGCATTGAACTGAAAGGTGACCTTACTACTTGGGCATTAGAGAACAGATCTATTTCTTGGTCTGTTTTCAGGATGCCAAAGATTTCTTGTGTCTGTGACTTGGCTCTTTCAGATGTTTAGTCAGAAAATGAGCAGTCGTGTGACAAGCCCCACCTTGATTTGTGATCTGACCCTTGGATACTAGTCAGGTTTCCATGTCTATATATGACATCAGCCAGCTTTGAGAAGAAAAAGAAATGTCACCATTACCTGTGGGACTTTGAAGCTTTTTGTATATTTGAGTGTTTACTATCGTTACTCCTTGGTTATTTGTAATACAAATACCAAAAATTATAATTTGTGACATATCATAATAGCTAACATTTTTTGAATGCTGAAAATATATTAGGTACTGTTCTAAGTGTAGAGGATGGTATATATATATTATCCTCTTAACTCTGGGAGAGTACTGTTTATCATTCCCTCTCCCCCTGTTGGAGATGAGAAAATGAAGTATAAAACAGTTCGGTGCCTCGCTCAAGGTCTTACAGCTACTAAGTGACAGATCTGGGTACCTTTTTGGCTCCAGAGTCCATGCTCTGGGTATTTCCAAAAAGGTTTTAAAATGAAATTAATCTAATGTTTTTAGTCTGCTTTATATCCTGCCTTAACCAGTATTTCTTACACTTACGGAGTTGATTTAAAATTAACAGGACCTACTGACTTTACGTTTGATAAAAGAGAAATCCATTTGTAAAATTCAAGCAGATTTTAGTCCTCTGCATTTACAGTGCAGCCACGTAACATTGTTCTGAGCCAGGAGTGCCACAGAGCACATTAGTCCTCAAATACTCCGATATGGCAGCCCCCAAAATCTGCTGGATTGAGCATGAATATGAACTTTCTGGAATGTTTCTTCTCTCTTGCTTCACTGATGCTTTGATTTCCTCTCTGGTCAGCCAGTACAGTGGAACTGACCTGTGATATGCTTTCCAGATTAAAAGACTGACATTTTTGTTTGACTTGTCTTACAGTAAATTGATAGTTATTTCTCCTTTTCCCCTGAGGTGAAGCATATGATACTTTTTTGTTTATATTAATGCATTTCTAGAAGAAGATGCAGTTATCTCTTCTTCCTACTTGTGGCTCAACTTTTATTTGAAACTGAGTGAAGTGAATGAAAGAAAAGGAATGGAGAAGCAATTAGAGATTAAAATAACAAAAAAGTTCCTGAAGAAAGCTGGATAATGGTCATTTATTTGATAATTACTGACCCCTAAAGATTGAAGGTTGTGGTATATACAGATAAAGCAAGTACATAGATCATTGTGGTAAGTGAGGCATCATTGAGGTAGGCAGATATGTATGTGATTTAAAGAAAATGAAATTTAAAAAAAAAATTGAAGATGTTAAGTGAATACCCTGGCACAGAACCACTAGTACTGTCTGGTTGCATTTTATGAAGGTCCCTTGAGGACCTTACATAATTCAGAACTCATGATTAAAACTAATGCCGACAGAGGGTGTGTGGTATTCCTGTTTATCAGCTAAAGTTGTGTTATAGCATTACCATGTGGTAATAGCAGAAGCGTAGCTTAAAATTCACTGAGCTAGCCAATTTTGAAATTGGAGAATTCTTAATGGAGTTTTAACTTTAGAGATTCACTCTTTGAATTTTTGCCTTTAAATGAAGTTTTATTAATATGTTGTTAATAATACAGTACATTATGGTAATCATTTCAGGTTGGTATAATTAAATAAAATATAGTCACACGGTGTTTTATAGTCTTAAAAACTAAACAGATATGATAAAATGCTTGGCTATACGTCAATTCTTAATTTTTATTTTATGGCTAATTAAAAAATCTCAGGGCTTCCCTGGTGGCGCAGTTGGTTGAGAGTCCGCCTGCCGATGCAGGGGACACGGGTTCGTGCCCCAGTCCGGGAAGATCCCACATGCCATGGAGCGGCTGGGCCCGTGAGCCATGGCCGCTGAGCCTGTGCGTCCGGAGCCTGTGCTCCACAACGGGAGAGGCCACAACAGTGAGAGGCCCACGTACCACAAAAAAAAAAATCTCAAACTGCCTTGCTTTTTCTTCCCACATGTAACACATATTAAGGGAACGAAAACTAATTTAAGTGGCCTAAGTAAAAGCTAGTAAGATTATTCAAATAAAAAGTGTGTAAGTATGTGTAATATATTTTGGCATATACAACACTTATGAATATTAAAAATTGATGAAATACGCAAGATGCTTCTTAATTAACTCAGTAATTAGGATTGTTCAAAAAGGGTTTGAAAGAATCCTAGCTTTGTTTCCCTGCTCGGTCACCAGCTAGATCTTTTGTAGGTAAAATGTTATCCTGTTTATACAGTGAAATCCCGCCTAACCTGAGGCTAACACATAAGCCCAAAGGACAAAAATCACCTGTAGTGAAAATTTCCCTTGAGTGTCTCTCAGGAAGATGCTGTGAGAAGTCAGTCTCTCGCAGAGCCAGTTTTTTCCTTTGATGTTAGAAGAGATTGCTTTTCCTTCAGTTGGGTTCAGGTGGTTTGTTCCGGGGCCATGCTGGAGAAGTATGGTTCTTTACAGATTAGTTTCACACTTGGTGCAAAAACCTATACCGAGATCCCCTGGAAGAAATAGGCAGTTCAAATCTTAACAGTCTACTCCAGGGCATATACTCATCGATGGGATGCTGAGTAAAACCATCCATACTATTTGGAGCTCTGTTTTTAGAAAACCATTCATGCTTTGTGTTTATTTTTGGTTTCATGGGTAGTAAAAACTGAGTAAATGAAATGTGCATATGCCACACGCAGCTCCACTGTAAGATAATTTTACACCAATGCTGTATCATCCAGAAGCCACAGAGCCTTTCCTTCTCCTCGGGATAGGTAGATGTCACTTGTTTTCCAGAAAATATTAGTTATCTCCCAGGTTGTTGTATCAGTAACTTAAATTATACTTTCTCTTTTCTTACTTCCTTCACCTCATTTGTTCAGCAGACATAAAAGCCTGCTCTGTTCTGGGCCTGGTGTTAGGCTTGGGGGTTCAGAAGTGAGTAACGTGAGCCCCGTCTTCAGAGCTTACACAGGGGGACCAGCACGTGCACAGTCACAAGACGACACGACATACACTGTGTTCACTGCAGATTTAAATACTCATATTCCTTGAGTATTTCAAAAGTCACCCCACAGATATTGGTAGTTGTTCAAATTCATTTATACGATGCTTTCAAATTTCTAAACATAGTGGCTTCTTTGGACCAGATAATATTTTGTTGTGGGGACTGTCTTATGCATTGGGGGATTCAGCAGGTAACAGCAGCACCCCACCTCCAACTGAAAGTGTCTCCAGACATTGCCAGATGTTCCCAAGTGGCAGAATCGCCTCTGGTTGAGATCCACTGTCCTAGAGGAAGGGGAGGGCAAGCTGGGTGGCAGGGCCTCTCCCGAGAGAGGACGCAGACAGGGACCAGAGGACAAGGCCCGCAGGCCATAGGAGGGGCTCAGGGACTCCTCTCCATTCCCCCAAGGCTTCCATTGTGAGTATACGGGAGAACAAGTTAGCTTAAAGTAAGTTGTATAAAGCATTCATCTTAAAAATAAAACATGAATTTATAGAATAAATTCAGAAGTCAGAAAATACTCTGAGATAAATTCTAGGGCCTTTGAAAAATATTTTGGAGATGCAGCTTGGCCTTTGTTACCTGCTTACGGAGTCCTGTTTTTGTCCTCTCTGGTTCCGTTATGGTTTTCTCTTGTACGTCATTTTGCCATTGTGTACTGTAATGACATCGTCATTTTCTTCCCTTTTCCCATCAAGTCATTCTGCCGGCAGGGCTCAGTCTCTGAGCTCCTGCTCTCGCTGCTTTCTTCTTGGACAAACTCTGTCAGCCGCCGGCCTGCTGTCGCATATGTAAAATCTGCTCCTGTGTCCGCTGTCACTGTATGTTTTCTTGTTGCATGTCCTTTGCCACGGTAGTTCTGTTTTCTTTGCCATGAATGCATTGGAGCAATGATTACAGTAGAGAAAGGCAGGACTAGATTTTGAGAAATAATGGGTAACAAACCCAAAATTTTGCCAACCACATTGAAGCATTTTTATAGCATTCCGTGTTATGTGATTGTATTGATATTTGTATTTGGTTGCTATAACTTATTTGGTTGGCTACTTATATCTTACCTTATAGCTAACTATGTACAGAGCATGTCATGATGACAAGTTAAATTAAGTTGATTTCTATCATTTTGTTAAATGTGTCCATTTAAGTTTTGTGACTTTTGAGATGTATCAAATTTGCTCAGAAAGTTATCTGTGCCCATCATAGCTTTATGATTAATTACATGTCTTTTGAATGACAGAAGGTACTAAGGAAGGCAAAGGCTTTGTAGAATTGTTGAAATTTCTGTTGTGAATTTTATTATGATGCCACTAATAAAATTCCATGAAATACCCTAAATTTTGTTTTGATTCCACTAATAAATTCAATATAACATCCTAAGTTTTGTTTAGTTATAACAAGTATATTATTTAAGTCCACACTGAAAAGATGAAGTAAACGGGAACAGATGAAGTCAAACCATTTTTTAAATGTGAAACTACGAAGTAGTCATTAATGTTATGAATAGTGGTAAGTTATCACAGGATTGGGGGGTAAGATCCATTTCCAATGACAAACGTAATTTGAAAATATTTTAGCAAATGAAATTTCCTGTAACAAATCTTTATGACCTTAAAGATTACAATTCATCAGCCCTTAAAGATTTTAAAACCCCCAAACCCTACACTAACATAGGAATGCTATTTTCTATTCTCAGTTAACAGACTAAACAGAAATTTAAGTTATGATGGCAAGATACAGAGTAGGTCTATATTTAACATAAATTTTCTGATATTTTCTAATCTTTTCCTTGTCTGGTTAACAAAATATAATAGTTAAGTGCTGCTTCTTCTCAAACCACCCATGTCAACTGTTTTCCTCTTCTGTTCATGGTTCCTCATTAAATTGCTGAGGCTTTAGAGCACCTGGCTCTAGTTTTTGTTTCTAACAAAGGCTGAATAGAAGAACATGGGGCTTAGGATGTTGTTTTTACAAGTTTTTGTTAGTTGTTGACAGCATAAATAGTTGATAAGAAAATAACCCTTGAAAGCACGAAATCAGGTTTAGAGAATATTTATTAGGTGGAAAAGAACTTGTTTTTCTGCCAGATATTATTTATACGTATATAAGAATATCGCCATTTGAACACATCATTTTACCTAGTCATAGATAGTTTAGAATAAATTCCAAAAAATAGAATTGTTAAGCCAAAGGATACATGTCTTATAAATTTGTAGATATAGTATGAGCAATTTTTCTTTTCTAGGAGTTCTAATCTATATCCTACTTGCAAATGAGGGCCTGTTACTCTGTAGCCTCACCAATGCAGTTTTTCATCGAACTTCTTTTGTTGTTTTTGCACTAATGGGTGAAAAAAGATTTTACTATGGCTTTATTTTGTATTTTTCTTATAATGATGGAGGTTGAGCCATTTTGTTTCCTTTTCTATGAACTATATATAATCATGTCTTACATTTTTCAATTTCAATTTAAAGTAGGAATTGTTATTTTATAATACGAAAAGAGAAGAGGAATTTGAGGTGACCACCTTTTTGATTTATTGTTAACAATATAAAATTGGCCTTATTCTTTTTGGATACACACATGTACATGAATATAACATAAAGGTTTTTCCTTTTTTCTAAAACGAAGTTTGGGAGTAATCAGTCCAAACCAGAGTTCACGGTGGACCTTAAGGGGGCAACGATTGAGATGGCTTCAAAGGATAAATCCAGCAAAAAGAATGTATTTGAGGTAATAAATTATTCTCTTAAGTATAATCCACATTCTTAACCATAGGAACTTCATGTTCTGTTTTGAGTTATTTCGGGAAATGGCCTTTCAGTGTGACTAGTTGAGGCAAAGTTAGTCATTAAGTTACTTTGATTCATAATTTAAGGAAAAAAGCTGGTGTAAAGATCTGGCTTCATTTGCATAAGTCACTGGATCTCCGAAGATGTATTACAGGCCTTTGTTCCACAAGTCGTGCCTTTGCCCAGCAACAATAAAAGGGTGTGGTTCCCTTTGCCTACCAAATCTAATATTAAAAAACAAATTAAAACTTTCCTATTTGTCATTAAAAGCCCTCCGCGGTAATGCACGATCCTGTATCAGTTACTTATTGCTGCCTAACAGACCATCCCCAAACTTAGTAGCCTGAGGAAAGAACCGTTTTGCTTGTTTGGTTTGGCCTGTGCGGAGCTGAATGGTTCTTCTGGTCCCACCCGGGACCAGTCACCCGGCTTCAGTCATCCAGTGGCCTGACTGGGGCTGGACGGTCTACTTCCCCCCTCCGGGTTGGTGCCAGCTGTTGGCTGGGCTCCTGGTCACCGTCTCTCCTCCTGAAGGAGGTGACCTCAGGCTTCTTTACATGTCAGGGTTCCAGGGGGGGCCAGAGTGGGAGCCGCAAGGCTTCTTGGGGACCAGATGTAAGAGCCAAACAGCAGTGTGTTCTGTGGCTTAAAGCACGGCCCGCCCGCTGGTGGAGGGGCAGCAACACTGCACAGGGCTGCGTATGCAGAGGGCAGAGGGCGCTCGGACTGTCTTTGCAAAGAATCTCTCCTGTCTCAGGGCTTTCCTACTTGTCATCTAGGCAGATTAGAGCAGTTGATATTTCCCAAGTGGAACCCGGGTTTTCCTGTCTTGATGGTTTTCACTCCTGATGGATCTGCCTTTAATACCAACGGCTGCTAGTCTCTCCTTGTCAAACGTTCCCTCTCTTCCAAGACCCACAAGAAACATTACCCCAGCACAGATGCTGCTGCTTTATGCTTTTAATGTAGCACTTGTTCTCATGTACCTGGAGCTTTCCTCATCTGTAAATTATTCCCCCGCTAGATTATTAAAAAAATTTTCTTTTCAAGCAAAGAGACTGCATGCTTTTCCTTACTTTTACAAAGTGAGACCCTCTAACGGAGTATCTTGGCCCACTTTCTAGAAGAAATGCAGGAAAGGAAGTCACTGTTACCTGAGGTAGCCTTGTTTCATTCCAGAATGAAGAAGGTCCCATGGTCAAATAAATTTGGGAAAAAGTATATATTTTATTCCTCTGTTAGGAAGTCACGGTGCACCCTGGAATAGCAAAACTCTGAGAAGTCTTGAAGGATAGAGTCTTGTTCAGCTCTCTTCAATCTAGCACTTCCCAAATTAACATCACGTAATGAGTTCTTTATTTTTTTGAGGAATGCCTTTTAAAACATTACTTCAGGAGCTGTTTGAGGAATATATCTCAGAATGTTGTTTGGGAAACATTGCCATATGTTCCTCTAGGAAAAAAGAAAATCAGACACTTACCAAACAGAAAATAGAAGGAATGATTTCTATAAATACCTCAAAATTCTTCCTCAGTCAGGTGTGAGAAACTTTGAACCCAGGAGATCATACATAAATGGGTTATTGCGTTCATGTAGAATCATATATCGTGTCCTTACTTTAGTTAGTTCATGATTTTACAGTTTAGTGATGTTTCTGTCCAGAAGGCTTGTGATGTATAATTTCCTATTAAATAGTCAATATTGAAAGTCTAACTCTTGTATATTCTCTTTCTACATATATTTTTTTAACCAGAGAGAGAAATTCTCAAACTTATGTTAAAATATTATAGATTTTATTTCTTAACAAATTATGTTTCAATTCTCATTTAAAATGCACAGCGTAGGTACTTGAACTTATTTTTTAATGATAAAGTATTCTAGATTCCAGCAAGTTTTATGTTGTTTGTGTGACGGAGTTTGGGATCCTAAATTATTAGATTTTCATTGAGAATTTACTGTGAGAAAAACGTCATGTTTTATAAAATTATCCAGCTGGTATTCTTTTATACTAAAATAAAAGATAATTCCATCACTGTGGACTACTGTAACCTTTCCACTATTAATATGATATATGGCATCCAATCTTCTGGTGGTTTTGTAGACTTTGAATTAAATGTATTTATTTACTTCATTGAAAGCACTAACCATGCTTTTTTTTTTTTCCTTCTTATCTCTAAAGCTGAAAACCCGTCAAGGAACAGAACTGCTGATTCAGTCTGATAACGATGCTGTTATCAATGAGTGGTTTAAAGTTCTTAGTAGCACTATCAGTAATCAGGTATGTGTGTGACTCAGGTAAATGTTTTTTTTAACTTTAGAACTGCTTCTCTTGTTTTGTTTTTTGGCTTTCTAACTGGTTATTATATATCTAGTTTCCAATTTATATTTAAAAAATACTTTTTAAAAATACATATTTTGAAAGAGGTAGGAAAGACAGTGATTAGTTTAGCAATTCCCAGGGGCTGATGAGTGATTTAACATTGTCATTTATAGGATTTTGCCACCAGTAGATTTCACATAACTTTCACATGAGGCATTGGTTCAAAAAGAAAATAGCTCAGGAGGTAGGGACGGTCTAACTGTGCCTAGTATGTAGTATTTATTCATGGAGTGAATGCTTTGGAAATCATCCTATTTGGTGGAAACAGATCCTGAGCAAAATGGTGAGATGCATGAAGCTGTCGTCTTGTCAGTTGTACTTTTTCTTTCCTAGTGACCTTTCTACTCAGAGTACGCTCATGTTCCTGGAAAATTTCTTCTCATGTGTATTACAACCAAAAAGAACCTCGCATTTATATTCTGAAGCTGTGTTTGTCAGAGCAGTAATAAACAACTAGAAGCTGTACTTTCTTAGACTGTACTCTTACCCCCTCACCATATGGGGACATGGTTCCTGATTAAGGATCATGTATCAGTGACAGAAGTGAAATGAAAGTGAATACTTACGGGAGTATGTAATACAGGTTTTAAACTAAATGGAGACAAAAAAAGTTTGGGAATCACTGGCTTTAGTAGAGATGGAGATGTCTTTCAGAGACTTTATAGGTGATGCTTCATTATTAATAAGGTTTGTGATTGTATCAAGGTGTTCTCCTTCTGTGAGTCTCAGTTTTTCTACTTAAAAAAATAGATTGCACTGGATTGTCTCCAAGTATCCTTTTAAGCTCCAAAATTTTATGATTCACCTAGTTCAAATCGCCCAGATTTGGAATCTGAGTATTCTTTAACTCTTCCGCCTCCAACTTTTAGCTCTTCTAGCAAATTATTTACCAATCTAGATGTGAATTCTTCCTTTGCAGTTTGTAATACTGTGTGATATTTCTGAACCTTGTCCCTTTCTTTCCATTTATTCCTGAAACCATGGGCAGGCCTTTAAATGTTGATATTAAGAGTAACCTCCTAAACAGTTTGCCTTGTTTCATCTCATCCCCCACCAATGCATTGTTAATGCCACTACTGTATGAAACTTCCTGATGTCACTCTTATAATCCTCCCCTGCACAGAAACCTTACGTGACTCCTATTAGAATTCAGCAACCTGAGCCCAGTCTTTTCAAACGTACCTTCTCCTCTACCCAGTACGGGCTTGCAGGCCTAGTCACTGTAACGTGCTCGCTACCCCTTGAAAGCAAGGGTGGCTGCGTCCATCTCACACACACGTGAGTGCCTTACGCACTGGGGAGTAGCAGCGTGCAACCGGATGCTGCACCTAATGCATGGGACTTACAATCAAAGACAGAAGATGACTGAGGGCAGACAGCTGAACAGTTAATATAATGAACATATAAAAACTCTGATTAAGTAGGGGCTAATCTAGTGTAGGGATCAAGGGAGGCCTTGCAGAGAAAGTGGCTTTTTAAATTAAGGCCTAAGGGTTCAGGCAATAAGCCAACTGAAAAGGGAGGAACATATAATTGACTCTCAAAATTTTAAATGTGTACTGTTTACAAAGTGGCAAAAGATACTGAGGGCAAAGAGATGGGCAAGATTACAAAACTTTATTAAGAGACATTGACAGAAACTTAAATGAGAAGTATGTCCATGGATTAAAAAATTCAATTATGTAAAGATATAATATTCTTCCAAATGGCTTATAAATTTGTAGGTTTGAGATTTTTGAATCTCATTCAAAATCCCGGTAGGTTTTCTGGTGGAACTTGACAAACTTATTCTAAAATTCATAAGAAATGCAAAGGGCTAAGAATATGCAAGACACCTTTGAAGAAGACTTGCTGTAGCGTATGTCAGGACCTTATAAAGCTGTGTATCCATAATGGGATCGATATACAGACCTGTGGAACAGAATAAAGAGCCTGGAGACAGACCCACGTGCCTTTGGACACTCTGTGCCAGGTAGAGCATGTGCTGGGTCAGCTGGATGTCTGAGAAGAATTGGAGCCTTTCCTTACACTGTGCACAAAAATAAACTCTGGGTGGAGAGAGGACCTCAGAGTAAAAGGCAGAGCAGTGCTTTTAGCTTTGAGAATTCAGTCTGCTTTTTAACTTGTAAAAGTGACCGTAGTTAGGCTGTAAATGAGTTCTAGGATTTCTTTCAATTCCTGATATCCGCAGGTCTGTGAGTAATGAGTGATGTCAATTAACTGTTGACACAAAGTGCAATTTTAAAAGATTGTTGGTGTGAAGCAGTTAAGGTACCATTGCTAGTTAGCTTTATCTGTCCTATCATCAACAATGTACCATCATCCTGTTCTATCACCACAGATTATATAGCCCAACCTTTTAACTGTTATTACTTGTCACTTGATCAAAATGAGGCAAGATAGCATCACCATCAGTACAAGCGCATTATCCTTGTGAATTATCATTAATTTTTTCTTTATCGAAATTCAGTTAATGCCATCAATGGGGGAAGGGGGAAGAGTATTTTTAAAGATTTATCAAATATCTAAACCATATATCGTATATACTAATTGGTTCCCTAAAATCATTAGGAAGAGTTAACTACTGATCATTCTGAGAATTACATCTAAAGTAATAGCAAAAGTAATATGTGTTTGGAAAATCTCTAACCAACAGACAGTAGAACCTGATGAAGCGATTGAGGAGGACATACCAGATTCACCAGGAATAGAAAAGCACGATAAAGAAAAGGACCATAAGGATCTGAAGAAATCACGTTGTAAGTTTTCTTTCCCGGTGTTGCTAGTGGTTTGAGTGATTAGCAAAGGTTTAGAGTAAATATATGAAAGCTGAGTGGACTCTCCAGTGTTGCAAGACTTCTAAGATTCAGGAGTTGCAGTCTCAGTGGTTCAGTGTTCTCTCTCCTCGTTAGCTCATAATCTTTTTTTTTTTTTTTTTTTTTTTTTTTGCGGTACTTGGGCCTCTCACTGTTGTGGCCTCTCCCGTTGCGGAGCACAGGCTCCGGACGCGCAGGCTCAGTGGCCACGGCTCACGGGCCCAGCCGCTCCGTGGCATGTGGGATCTTCCCGGACCGGGGCACGAACCCGCGTCCCCTACATCGGCAGGCGGACTCTCAACCACTGCGCCACCAGGGAAGCCCAACTCATCATCACTTTTCAGCCTAATCGTATGCACCCCGATGGAATCATATTAATTTTAAGATATTATGATACCCTTTCAAGAGAAAAAAATGCGCACAACAGAATGCGCTTGTGTTGAGGCCTCTAGGAAGCTGAACTTTATTGATTGGAAAATATATAATTACTGTTTAAGATTCTAGATAGACCCTTAGACATTAAGAAGTCAGAAGTCACGGGATGTGTACCATAGTTCCCTATTGGATGCCAGGCAGCCGCCTCTAGACTGGGATATGTCTGTGCATTTAATCTCCAGACCACATATTATGTGTACAGGACCAGAGAAACGCCAGCAGTTGTAAGGATTTCATTTTCTTTTCTTTCCTTTTTTATGGCCACTCCATGCTGCATGAGGCATCTTAGATGGAACCCGTGCCCGCTGCAGTGGAAGCACGGGAGTCCTAACCACGGGACTGCCAGGGAAGTCCCAAGGATTGCATTTTCTAACACAGGCCTCTTGTGAATTATGTGCTTTAAATAGGCCATTACCCGTGACTTGAACCTGCTTAAATCTATTTTAACAAATCCACATTTAACTGAGAAACTTTTGGTCTTCACATTAACTGAATGATTAGAAAATCAGTTCTTTTTTTCTCCCACATTCTTATGAAGTTTAGGCCTATTACTGACACTGTCACTGTATAATAGTGTAAACCACGAAACTTTTATTGTTTTAATTCTTTACTAATATATTGTTTGTGCTCTCAACTTTCTTCAAATATGGTTATTTTCAAGAAATTTACTTTCTGAATTTTTATTATTGTAACCCAAAGATAAATCAGGTCTGCAGGCAGTGTGGAAATCCAGGTGGTCCCATCCCTAGCTCGGAGTAGAGATAATTACGATGAGTCTTAGCTTGAAGTACAAATAATTGTGATGGATATTTATACATATATATCCCCTGACTCCTAGTTCAGTGAGTATGGGGAAGGGTAGGGATTTTGTTTATGTTTTATGGGTTGGTTACTTTATTTTTTGCTGGTCATTTTACCATCTAAACCTGATGGAGAGTCCAAGACTATATCATTTGTGAAATAATGAATATAAATTAGAATGACTTACAAATGTCTTGGCACATATACTAAAGAAGGCACAGTTTGCGGTCAGTGTTTAGCGATAAAAATGAAATGTTTCATTTGGTTTGTCACTTTGAAATTGTGTTAGTTTTTGATTCTTCATGTGTTACTCTTAAACCGTATTAAAGTTAGAAAAACTGAATTTATATACTGTGATTTTTTATATATGAGATTAATATGTTTTGAGTACTAGGTGGAAAAATTTTCATCAAAAAAGCCTTTATTTTATAAAATGCTTAATATCTATCTGTCTTAAGCCACGAAAGTATCTAGCATAGATTCTTCAGAACAGAAAAAAACCAAGAAAAACTTAAAGAAATTTCTTACGCGACGCCCCACTTTGCAAGCTGTTCGTGAAAAAGGTTATATTAAAGGTAGGTAGAAGTGATGTTTATAATAATGAACTTTGGCCCAAATCGGAAATAAGACATTTTACATTAAAAGCTGAAAATTTTCCAAACAGTAAAAATGTCTCATTCTTTATTCATGAAGTTATCAGGTTCCGTGATTAAAATACATTTGAGTAATTAAAATTGATTTTTTAATGCACATGAAGAGTTTAACTAAAGCATCAAACAGACATAAATACCAAATTAGCTTTTTAGAAACCCTGTACCAGAGGAGCTACATGGATGTGATGGGATGGCGTGGCAGATTTTCAGAATGACAGATTTTTAGTTTTCAGATGCACAGATCAGAAGAAATGTCAAGTAATCACTAGCTGTAGAAAGAAGAAATAATGTACAGTTCTATTCTTGATTGTGTGCCTTCAGTTCTCATTTAAGGTAATTTTAAAATTAGGATAAAGTGTTTTTTCCTAACTAATTTTTACATTTTATTTTCATGTATAAGAACCATAATGTACTAACAGAATTTTTTCTTAATAGGAAAGTATTCTTTAAAATCACATATACTTGTATATATATACCTTTAGTTTTTACAAGCATGTTTAATTCCAAAGATAAAATTTTCTAACACATGACTCAAAACAGAGACATTTGTTCATAATAAAACTATAGGAAAAGGTAACATAATTTATACCATATATATTAGAGCTGTCTTTGATTATGAAGTTTCTAACAAAGACCATTGCAGAAACATCTGTTATGCAAAGCATCTAGATTAAAATACACAAATGAGTTTCATTAAAAAGCTATTTAAAACTTCTAGGAAGAGTTCAGCTAATTAAGTGATTCAGATTAGCAGCCTTAAAGAGTTAAGGGTAAGCAGGCACCCCCAGATAATGCACGTGAATTTAGCATGTTGAGCTTAGAACCTTCAAAAAAGCCTCACAAATAAATGGATAGAAACTGCTGCTCATTCTTCGTCAGACCTTTTCAGTGAGAAATACAAACTTGCCACTTTCTGGTGGTGGTCATCCACTTCAAATACTGTATTTTATTTGTTTTCCTGAATATTTAGCACTAATGTGGAATTTCAAAACTGTTGGGTTGAAAGATTACTAGAACGGACTTTGATATATTTTGTGAAATCAGATGTTGGCACATGATGGGCGTGTGGTTTTTTTTGTTGTTTTTTTGAATTTTATTTTATTTTTTGATACAGCAGGTTTTTATTAGTTATCCATTTTATACATATTAGTGTATATATGTCAATCCCAATCTGATGGGCATGTGTTTTTGTTTTTGTTTTTTTGCGGTATGCGGGCCTCTCACTGCTGTGGCCTCTCACGTTGCGGAGCACAGGCTCCGGACGCGCAGGCTCAGCGGCCATGGCTCACGGGCCCAGCCGCTCCGCGGCATGTGGGATCCTCTCGGACTGGGGCACGAACCCGTGTCCCCTGCATCGGCAGGCGGACTCCCAACCACTGTGCCACCAGGGAAGCCCAGATGGGCATGTTTTAATAGTTTTAAAAATATTTGAGTATTTGCTAAGTGGTGGACTTGAGCCTCAGTGCTGGGAATACCTATTGGCATTCAAGAATGAGAGGGTCCCTGCCCGCATGAAACTTCTATAAAGATGAGAGACAGACAAGGTAATTTAGAATAATGGTGACTTACGTGAAAAATCTGACATAGTGATAAAACAGAGAGTGACTGGAATTGGGCTATCTTAGGATGGTCAGAGGGTTCTTAAAAGGAGGTGGCATTTTAGCTGAGACCAGGACTGGTGAGAAGGAGCTCCGTTTGGGGGAAGGTTGATCTCTGCACAGGAGGGGAAGGTAAGAAGGGAGCCAGGCAGGAATGAAGGAGGGTGTTCTCGGAGCTTGGAGTCGGAAGAGGTAGGCGAGTGCAGATCAGACAGGTGTGCGTTGTGTTGAAAGTGTCTGCATGCAGGGGTATCTTCTGTTGCACTGTGAATCATTTAGCCATTTTGTGAACTAAAGTTTAGCAAGGTGACTCATTTCTTGAAATCTCTTTCAGATCAGGTATTTGGAGCCAATCTTGCTAATCTGTGTCAGAGAGAGAATGGCACCGTGCCAAAATTTGTGAAATTGTGCATTGAACATGTTGAGCAATATGGTAAGAAAATGAATTTTTTTTTTAAAGTTAAGTACACCATGCATTGTTTTGCCATCAGAATCTCTAGGATTTTTATGATTTTGAGTGTTGCAACCAAAAGTTCTTTATAGTCATAAGTTGTCAAGAAAAGCATCTTTTTTGCAAAAAACCATTTTTTTTGCATTGTTTCAAATTAAGGCCTTTGCAGTCATCTATTGCATGTTCAGTACTTAGGGTTGATTCAGCGTATGGTATTCCTTGAAGCCATTGGGAGTTGTTGGCATTTGCTTAAAATGGACGTGCTGATTGTGAAACTGTGTTTATTAAGAAATGATCCAACGGTGTAAGAGACAGGCGGAGATAGTGTTTACTTACTAAGGGGAAGTCTCTTCTGTTTATAATAAAAATGAGATGACATTCCCAAACTGCTAAATCAACTCTAAAGTGTGCAAATAGACAAATCCTCTTTATGTCATTTCCTGTACTTCTGAAGACTTAAACTAATTTCTGTTTTGGTTAATTTTAACATGTTTATAATATTTATACTAGCTTTTAAAATAACAGTATCTTGACTGCAGTCCCATTAACTTATATCAGTATATCGTCAAAAATATCTTGTATAATTAAAATATTTGCATAAAATGTAATTTCTGCTAGTCACAGGTCTCTGACTCTCAGCCTGACAATAGAGATGCCATGCTACTTGGCTTTACTAGAAGTTAAATGAGTAGCACATTAGATAATGTTAAGTGTGTGCATCATTATCATTTAATGAATATATGAATTTTTGGGCTTCATTGTGTGAATTTCAAATGATTCTGTTTCATATATAAAATAAATTAATAGCTATCAAATTATCAGTTGTTATAGAACCATTATTTTAGCTGCTGGCTTGTATTAAGTTTATTTATTACAAGCACTTAATATGACAAGCACTTTGATTCAGAGAGCACCTTAATATGTACATTTACACTCTCAAATGACGTCCCAAGAAACGGGTGGGCTGATTTTATCTACTGGCTTCCTTTACTTTTTGAATTATCTTCAGGTGTTTGCCGAAGTTTATCTTAAATTGCTAGTATTTCAAGTTTGAGATGATTTCCTTGAGATGGTGATCCACAGTCTACATGATAAAGTAGACTTGTTGCTGTTTACCAGACAATTCAGAGTGAATCTCCACCCCTCTCTCACTGCCAAGCATCTATAAAAAGTCATTTAGAGGAAAAGAGTAATTTTATTTTAGGCTAATGTTAATAAATAAGAATTCTAAAACATGAAAGCATCTTTAGAAGAAGCCAACAAGAACTTTAAACATAAAATTATTGTTATTTATCTCTCAGGGTTGGACGTTGATGGGATTTATAGAGTTAGTGGCAACCTTGCAGTGATCCAGAAGCTGAGGTTTACAGTCAATCATGGTAAGATCATATACTGTTATATACAGAATAAATAACTCGTGACTGTTAGAATTGGTTTAAAATAATTTCAGAAACTTTCCCATTCCTACTGTTTTCCAGATGAGAAATTGGACTTGAAGGATAGTAAATGGGAAGATATTCATGTCATCACTGGAGCACTGAAAATGTTTTTTCGAGAATTACCAGAACCTCTCTTTACATTTAATCATTTTAATGATTTTGTTAATGCAATTAGTAAGTATGTAATCAGTTCCACTCAGTTTTTTCCCTAGATGTTGAAAACCCTCTGTAGCTGCTACAACACTGCTTGATATTTTAAACAAGTTTTTTCAAAGGATTGTTTTACTCCAGAAATTTTAAATGTAACCACCAGGTGTCACTGTGTATTACCAAATACCAGGTTCCAAAATAATGTCACTGCTTTCAGTTTCATGCAAAATCTCCAGTCATTGTCTTTTTTCAGAACAAGAACCAAGACAGCGTGTCTCTGCTGTGAAGGATCTAATCAAACAGTTGCCAAAGCCAAATCAGGACACAATGCAGACTCTGTTTAGACATCTCAAAAGGTAAGAGTCTCACCACAGAAGAGAAGGAATAATTAGGGGGAAAAAGAAGGTTGGAGAAGTGCACAGGTATGAGATGTGGTGTAGGACCCCCGGGGCCAGGGCCACGCAGACCTAGGTTCAGAGCCCCGCTGTGCTGCTCGCGTGTTTGTAACATGAGAAAGATGACTTCTCTGAGCCCCAGTTCCTCGTAGGTAAAACGGTTTGGTATAAAGAATACACTGAAGTAGATTTCATATGTGAAGCATTTATATAATGCCTAGCACGTAGTAAGTGTTCAGAAATTGTTGCTAAAAGTTAGTTATGATGAAGATGAGATTGGTTAAGTGAGGAATATTCAGTTACCTTGAAGTCAAGGTAATTAGGTCTAAGTTACTACATAGTCACTCTGAAACTTCTGATAGAAAGAACACGAGATTACTAAAATAAGTGATCACAGTATGAGAGATTTTTTTAAAAATAGCATAAAATGAGTAAAATTCAAAGTTTAATCTCTGTGCACTAATGATATTTTCCCCGTCACCCTAGCAGAGGAATCATTGTTACCTGAATTGTAATAGGTATTCAAGTCTATGTCTTATTTTTAAAACTAAGCTGAAATATCACACATTTAAAGTTTGTGAGAATATGTATACCTTTCAGCTGTGTTTATGCAAAAGAAAGCTTTACGTGCTATTCAGACTGAATTCTATTTGGTTAAATAGTTTATATGTACCTTAGGAAAATGAGCATTATTTCTCTTTTCTAAATGCAAGCTGTTTATAATATTTTTTGAAGAATTTCCCCTATTTAAAAATTTTCTCTTTTAACTAAAATTTTTGTTTTTCCTCTTAGAGTTATAGAAAACGGAGAAAAAAACAGAATGACGTATCAGAGTATAGCAATTGTGTTCGGTCCTACTCTGTTAAAGCCAGAGAAGGAGACTGGCAACATAGCAGTTCATACCGTCTACCAGAATCAGATTGTAGAGTTAATTCTTCTCGAGGTAAATTCCATCTTCGGACGTTGACTCTTACTGAAGAGAACCTGTGGAATAGAAGCCGGATTTCATCAGATTCCAAGTCCTTACACCTGATGTAGTTTATGTTTGGACCAAGCAGTGACTCTTTGATTTTGCACTTTTCTGAGGGACTGGAAGGGAATGGGAGAGTCCAGATGTGTGATAGGCCCTCATATTTGCTGCTCTGTTGCAAGTTGATAGAACTGTGTGTACGTTTGAATTAGTTTTATCCTGAATGTTTGCATTTCATACTCTGAATTCCAGTAAAAATCAAAACTTGCGATTCTAACCAGTCATATACACTGGATAATTTGGTAAGAATACTACATTTTTTCTCCTCAAACTGGATGACGTAGAATTTCTTCTCATGATTCAATAGGTTCATCACTCGATAGAACAATACTTACTATCACCTATTTTGAAAACGCTCCTGGGCATTTTAAACAAAATGAAGTATATCTGTTTTGAAACCTGTGTTGTTTTTTTCGGGGTTTCTGCATGCAGTGGCAGTCTGATTGCTAGGACCCATTATAACCCAGATGCAATCCCTCCATGAAGGCTTTTTTCGGGGTTTCTGCATGCAGTGGCAGTCTGATTGCTAGGACCCATTATAACCCAGATGCAATCCCTCTGAAGGCTTTTTTCGGGGTTTCTGCATGCAGTGGCAGTCTGATTGCTAGGACCCATTATAACCCAGATGCAATCCCTCGATGAAGGCTTGCTGTCTTCATGGAGTAGCACAGCAGCATACTAATAGTACTTAAAACACTGTGATATACTGGAGTTTAATTTAGCATAAGCCAGTTCGGGGTATTTTGGGGCTGTCTGTGCTACACTGACTTGTAGCTAACAATCCTAATCTACCTAGTGCCATACTGAGTTCTTGGTATGATCCTGTGGAAACCAACGGTATTTGATGTAAATACAGGCTAAAGACTCACTGTCCTTTAGCTTATGTATATAATTGTGTTATATAGTCTCAGAGTACATTCTAACCTCTCATTTCTAATCACGATATTGGTAATTCTCCGTGAATATTAGGGTTCCTCCAGAAATAGGCCGTTATTTGAGAAAGTTAACTGTGTGCACTTTTAGATTTTTAATTACATTTACAGGCAAATCACTGTAATGCAAATGGTACTGGAACAATGCTGAATAGACTTGCTAAATGGTAAATGCACTACAAGAGGAACCTTTTAGATTATTTAATATGTACAGAATACATTAGAAAAAATTTATTACAGAATTCTAACTGCAGTACGAATAGTGGAAACCCATATGTAAATTAGAGGGAAGTCAGATCGAAAATGACATTGCTAAATTTGAGAATTTCTTTTTGCATTACTATTGTAGATTGGTTTGTATAATAAAACAGGGTTTGGAAGGTTTTGTTACAGAGAGCATGGTCTGCTGAAGATTTTTTTAAATGTATTTTTCTAGATTAACTGCTGTATATGAAATGTCTAATCTGAATAAAGAAAACTATAAGAGGTTTAGAGATTTTTCCATTGGAAATGTGTATTTTGGTTTATAATTTTGTTTTGTTTTTGCATTTACTGGCACACTCTTATAATACCTCATTTTAAAAAAATCAACCGAATCCAGTACTTCCTGTGGCAAATGTTTTCCTCGTTTCACACCTTTTGTGCTCCCTGCCATGCCAGTGCCTCTGCCACCCACCCCCTCCCACCCCCTCCCATCCTTCCCATCCCTCCACTCTTTATTTCTTCATCAATATTTGAAAGTGAATGATTTGTAACCAAGATTCTTTTTCTTAGGGTTGCATCTATAATTTACAGATTACTTTTCTTGGGGACAAATATTTTTTGTATGACCTGCGTAAAAACCTCTCACCTGAGTTTTGTGGTGAAAATGTTGTTTGTTGTTGTGATCTTGTTAAATTGATAACAAACCAAGCTACTTGACAGCAATGGGAAAGTATTGTTTTTTGGGTAGGGAGAAAAAGCTCCCAAATGAGAATGTTTATATTTGCCTAAAGATGTCCTTAACAATATACAGTATGCTTTAGGCCTGGCCTATATAGTGATTGTAATGCCAGGAAAACAATTAGACTCAAATCAGTGATGTTCTTTCTCTTGGTAGTTATGACATATCAAAGATTAAAATTGTCCTGTGTTTCTTGTTTCCAAGTACACCTGTGTGTATGTGAAGTCTTGAATGTTTTAATAGTCCACAGCTAATCAGCTTATTGTAATATTGTATGTATAATGAGATCAATGTCTTGTGTTTTCATCCTTTGTGAATTAAAAATTCTCACTTGTTTTCTTGTCATAACAAAACCAGTAATATTTCTCTGTCTTGACAGCTTGATTTTTAGTAGAAAATATATTAAAGGCTGAAATAAATTGTCAGTGGAATTTCATTTACTAATAGGCGTTCCTTCAGAATGTCATTAAAAAAAGTAGTTGGAAATTGAAAGGAAAAAGTTTATTCAAGTATGTTGTTATAATCCAATAGAAGGAAAATATTTAAATGTTACAGCAGTAAGAAATTTTACCTTTTACTCTAGAAAAATTATGAAATATTTCTTGGAAGACGATGTTACCTTTTAGATAGAGGCAAATGTATAGATTTTTGTTTTTCTTATGTGAAAAGTACATATGGAATAATTCAGCCAAACTTTGGGCCTAGGCAGTTGTGTTATATACACGTATGCACATATATGTGTATGTAAATGTGTGTGTGTATATGTGTCATTGCTTACATACAAATGAAAACTCATCAATAATAATCATGGCAGATACTTGGAGACCTTTGTACTATTTTAGTTTTATCCTATGATTCCTTGTAAGCCTGTAATAATAGATATTAAGATAGCAGTGAGAGGAAATTTTTCCTAGTTCGTGGGAGAGGCTTCTAATTAAATGTTTAAAGTAAACATGCAGTTTCCCATGACACTGATTTCTCCAGCATCTTTAAGCATTTAAAAAAATATACAGAGGAACCTACAACATGTCATTTTAGTAATAAATAAGAATAGTCAAATGGGTGTCATCCTCTCACTGATCTTAAAAAGTCAACTGTTCAAATACTGCATCTATATAGAGTTGAAAATGGTAGAATATAAGATTTTATTGAGTTTACTGGTCTCTGAACTCCAGCCGTCAGCTCTAACGATTCTCTTTTATAGAAAGCACGCCTCTAGTTTGAGACAGAGGTGTCTTAATTAGCGAGTTCAGCCTGTATGTTACAGTCCTGGAGGTGGGGCATCATTTCTGTTTTTTTTTTTTTTTTTTTAAAAAACAGTATTCCTGTATAACTAATACAGTCGTGTTAAATGCAACTTTAGTTTGAAACCAAAAGAAAAAAAAAAAGGCAAAGGGGCTGCAAAACCACATCAGCAGCCTTACAATGATAGTGATTAGACTCTGCTGGAAATTCACAAGCCGTGAACCCAGGCCAGGCAGAGTCAGACTTAGCCTTCTAGAAAAGGGGGGAGGCTCAGAATGCTAATGAAACGTTCCCTAACTACTGAAGGCCGGGAGTTCTCCTGAAGAATCTCAATTAGCCTTCTCAAGTGAAGTTTTGTGGAGCAGTGCTGGCTGTAAATGTATTCAGCTGCTTTGAGCTTTTACAAATTAGCCTTATGTGAATATGGCACTTAAATGAACTCTTTCATTTCCCTCATTGCTTCCCTTCTCCCACAGGAAAAAAAAAAAGAAAAAAGCACTTCCATGGTCCTCATAAACAGAGCACTTCCAGGACAAGGTAACTGTTTAACAAATCACTACAATACGAATTTAAAGAAGTTCGGTTTCTTACTTTTTCTCATCACCCTGCCCCTCCCTCTGTTTCACTTAATCTCTCCACGTTTTCAGAAGAGCAGTCTTTGGTAAAGATTTTAACCGACAGCCAGATCTTCTAGGTAGTTCTAATCCTTGTGGCTCGCACTGCAGGTAGCACTGAAACTTGTAAATTGTCGTGAACCTTGTAACGTTCATGGAACGTACTGATACCAGAGTGACAACATCGTGGAAGCTCTTATCAAGAGAGCCCTTGCAGAGGTAGAAGTCAAAACAGCCATCCGGTCAGGGTCATGACTAGTGCGGGTTCTGCATGGCCTTCAGGGCCGCCTCCTGGGCATTTTGAGAGATTGTTTATATATGTAGTCAAGAGAAATGGGTATCTTAACAGTCAGGTAAAATGGAGTCTCACTGATTGATAAAGCAGGCCAGAACCATAGGGACTCTCACACTCACAGTCTTATGTTATGGAGGCCCAGAGTGCGTGTGAGTGCCTACAGCCTGATGGCTGGTTAGCGGCTCAGAAGCCTGAGGGATGTTGATTAGTTATGTTATTTCAGTTTAAAGTTTGTGACAGGCACTTCCCTGGCGGTCCAGTGGTTAAGACTCCACGCTTCTACTACGAGAGGCTCGGGTTCAATCCCTGATCCTTGGTTGGGAAACTAAGATCCCGCATGCTACACAGCGTGGCCAAAAAAAAAAAAAGTTTGTGATGAATTTAAGTAAAGCACATTGTGGCATGCTCACGTAATATCATTTGAGGAGGAAACATGTAGCTTGTCTACCTGTTGTGGACATCTGTTTTCCAGCTAAATTTTTATTTATGGGGCATGCTGAAGCTTCTGTTTGCTTTCATACGTTGTGTACATCTCTCATGAATCTGGAGGTGGCCTGTCTCAGCAGTTGCTGTTTGCCTTGGACAGTCAGATGTGTGGCTGCTCACACAGGCCGTACTGGGGCTTGCTGAGGTCCTTGTGTCCACAGTGTCCAGGTTTCCTGGAGAGGGTGGACTTAAAGAGGAATCAAAGGCCTCTACAGAAGCCAGCACAGCTGTGTTATAAAGGGGGACAGTAGCTAACGATACCAATATCTTTAGTTCTGACTATGAGGTTCCCTGAATTCAACGCCTTACGTTGGGAACCAGATCAGATGTGGTGTTTCTGACACCTGGCTGCATCTTATAACGGCCCTGTTTCCTGGCCTGTTACATTAGCCAGATTGATTGCCTGAGCACTGCCAGTACCAACAGCTCAGCCTCCTTACCCATCTTACCACACTCGGAAGCGGCTGGAGCATATTCAGTTGGCATCAGTGGTTCCACAAAGCCAGCATCATACAATATGAAATGGCTGTTTTAAATAACAGGTAGTACTGAAACATCCCCCACTGAAGAGAGTTTAATATAAACAACCTGCTGGGATCCCATTTATTCATTCAACAAATTCAGTGATGTTGTATTAGGTGTTTACGCATGGTGTTAACCTCTGGGGATATAACGGTAAGCAAAACAGAAGCACAGAGTCTTAACCACTGGACCACCAGGGAAGTCCCATTTTCTGTTTTTGAGATTGGTATTATGACAGCTGGTATATATTTAGTTCTGACATAAACCCTTATTGAGTGGGTGAATTGAAATGGTCAATCTCAGTAGTTTTATTATTAATGTGCCTTCCCAGTCAGCTACTAGTGGCCAGGCCAGGTTGCTGAGATTGAACTAAGATTTATTGCTACGTGATTCGGTATGAGTTGAGAATGACATAATTCTTGAGTACTTGTGGAGTTGAAGTTAGGCAAGTTTGTCAAATAAATACAGGAGATGTCAAAGGCTTTGATGAAGTATCATTTCAAAGGATGAGGCCTGGTTTTAAACAGCAGATGGATCATCGTGGCATGAAGCAATAAAATGTGAAGTGGGACATTCTCAACTGAAGTGTCAGGAAAAGCATGGATTTAACCACATTGTCAGTGGTCACACAAGTAATCCACATCATACCTCCTGTATGAAAATTAACATACGGAAAGGATTCCTGGGAGGTAGTGGTGACGGCATAGTTTTTCAATTCCCAAGTTAGAACAACAGCATGATGACATTGACAGCAAAGCTAGGTAACAAGATATCCTCACAACTCCCAAAATACGAGCAGCTGGGGATAAAGCACCACCAGCTCCAAGACCTGGAAGTGTACAGTGTTTGAAAGAGGCAGTAGGGTAGCATCTGATAAACCCGAGGGCAGGAGAACCACGGTATAACCACCAGGACTGAAGGGGCTGAGTCACTGTCACCCCAGGAATTCTCAAAACCAACTTGCCAGAGATCCCTTCCAGGTCAAGGCCTCACACTGAAGAAAAGTTGCTGGGAGTAGAATCAAAATTGGGTGGGATAGGGACAGTAGATAAAGGAGGTTGTCTAGTTCAAGGTGGGCAGGGGAAGTAGAGCCAGGAAGTCCCAGGAATCAAGCTGCCATACTTTTTAACACAATGCAGAAACAACACAAGAATGAATCTGTGAAGTTAACAAAGCTTTCCTGACTCCTTAGTCCATAAGTTCAGGAAAATTAATTTTACATGAAAATGAGCAAAATAGTAACATCAAGGCCAAATCCCATATGAAGTTATAAGGAAAAAGAATAAGCAGAATAACACCCCTATGGAAAACGGGAGCATTCCAGAAACATGTGCCCATAAAAGAAAACTAATTGTTTATTGCAAAATTAGATTTTTAAGAAATAAGACATGAAAGAACAACATCAAATCAGAATTATAAGATGGCAGAACTCAGGAAAGAATTAGAAATAAAATACTTTAGGATCATAATAGAAACATAAGAGCAGATAAACAAAACATAATGCCTTAAAAGAAATAGAAGGTGTAAAAATTTTTTTGATAAAAAAGACTTAAAGATTTTTAAAAGATTAAAAAGTGACATTGGAGATAGGTAAAGAAGGTCAAACATAGTACCAATAGGAGTTCATAAGAAAACCAAGGCAAGAAAAAGACATTAAAAATATTTTAGGGCTTCCCTGGTGGCGCAGTGGTTGAGAGTCTGCCTGCCGATGCAGGGGACGCGGGTTCGGGCCCCAGTCTGGGAGGATCCCACATGCTGCGGAGTGGCTGGGCCTGTGAGCCATGGCCGCTGAGCCTGCGCGTCCGGAGCCTGTGCTCCGCAACGGGAGAGGCCACAGCAGTGAGAGGCCCGCGTACCAAAAAAAAAAAAAAAAAAATATATATATATATATATTAGAACCACTTCCCTGAAATTAGAAATTATGTATTGAAAGAGCACACCAGATAACTAATATTGACCGAAAATAACCATCAACAAGACGTACTCTAGTGAAATTACTAGACTGTAAAGAGGAAATTACTAGATTATTAGAATTTTCAGCTGTACTATTTTATACCAGATGCAGGTGGAGCAATGTGTTTAAGATTCTCAAGAAAGTCAAAGATTTCCTATCTAACAAAACGACTTTGAAATATAAAAGGCACAAATTGTTATCAGCATCATTTAAGAATTCAAGAAAGCCTCTTCTCATGATCCCATCTTTAAGAATCGATTACAGAAGTTTACAGATTACAGAGTTTCAGGCTACCAAAATGTCTTGGAGACATCTGCATAAGGACTGG